CTTGCCAGACAGTCATTCCATACAGATTGCCATGGTATTGTGAGTAGAGATGTGTGGTACAGTGAAAAGCACTCCAGTGATGTATTGAAGTTTGCTTTGCTTTGCTTTGTACGAAAGACAAATATGGAACCAAACTTTAGGTCTCAAATCGTCTGCATGGGTGCAGTGATCTAACAGCCTCTGCAGGAGTAGGAGATTCCATGATGTCATTGTAGATTAGAGATACTTGAGCATGAAAGACGAAGACGAAATCTCTAAGGCTGTGTTTACATAGGCAGCCAATTCTGATATTTTTTCCACTAATTGGTCTTTTGACCTATCGCATCAGATCTTTTCACATCAGATATTTTTCAGAGCTGATCTGATTGGTCAAAATACTAATTAGTGAAAAACATATCAGAATAGGGCTGTCTATGTAAACACAGCCATATAGGCCTATACAGTGGGGGGAAAAGTATTTAGTCAGCCACCAATTGTGCAAGTTCTCCCACTTAAAAAGATGAGAGAGGCCTGTAATTTTCATCATAGGTACACGTCAACTATGACAGACTAAATGAGAAGAAAAAAATCCAGAAAATCACATTGTAGGATTTTTAATGAATTTATTTGCAAATTATGGTGGAAAATAAGTATTTGGTCAAGAACAAAAGTTTCTCAATACTTTGTTATATACCCTTTGTTGGCAATGACACAGGTCAAACGTTTTCTGTAAGTCTTCACAAGGTTTTCACACACTGTTGCTGGTATTTTGGCCCATTCCTCCATGCAGATCTCCTCTAGAGCAGTGATGTTTTGGGGCTGTCGCTGGGCAACACGGACTTTCAACTCCCTCCAAAGATTTTCTATGGGGTTGAGATCTGGAGACTGGCTAGGCCACTCCAGGACCTTGAAATGCTTCTTACGAAGCCACTCCTTCGTTGCCCGGGCGGTGTGTTTGGGATCATTGTCATGCTGAAAGACCCAGCCACGTTTCATCTTCAATGCCCTTGCTGATGGAAGGAGGTTTTCACTGAAAATCTCACGATACATGGCCCCATTCATTCTTTCCTTTACACGGATCAGTCGTCCTGGTCCCTTTGCAGAAAAACAGCCCCAAAGCATGATGTTTCCACCCCCATGCTTCACAGTAGGTATGGTGTTCTTTGGATGCAACTCAGCATTCTTTGTCCTCCAAACACGACGAGTTGAGTTTTTACCAAAAAGTTCTATTTTGGTTTCATCTGACCATATGACATTCTCCCAATCCTCTTCTGGATCATCCAAATGCACTCTAGCAAACTTCAGACGGGCCTGGACATGTACTGGCTTAAGCAGGGGGACACGTCTTGCACTGCAGGATTTGAGTCTCTGGCGGCGTAGTGTGTTACTGATGGTAGGCTTTGTTACTTTGGTCCCAGCTCTCTGCAGGTCATTCACTAGGTCCCCCCGTGTGGTTCTGGGATATTTGCTCACCGTTCTTGTGATCATTTTGACCCCACGGGGTGAGATCTTGCGTGGAGCCCCAGATCGAGGGAGATTATCAGTGGTCTTGTATGTCTTCCATTTCCTAATAATTGCTCCCACAGTTGGTTTCTTCAAACCAAGCTGCTTACCTATTGCAGATTCAGTCTTCCCAGCCTGGTGCAGGTCTACAATTTTGTTTCTGGTGTCCTTTGACAGCTCTTTGGTCTTGGCCATAGTGGAGTTTGGAGTGTGACTGTTTGAGGTTGTGGACAGGTGTCTTTTATACTGATAACAAGTTCAAACAGGTGCCATTAATACAGGTAACGAGTGGAGGACAGAGGAGCCTCTTAAAGAAGAAGTTACAGGTCTGTGAGAGTCAGAAATCTTGCTTGTTTGTAGGTGACCAAATACTTATTTTCCACCATAATTTGCAAATAAATTCATTAAAAATCCTACAATGTGATTTTCTGGATTTTTTTCTTCTCATTTAGTCTGTCATAGTTGACGTGTACCTATGATGAAAATTACAGGCCTCTCTCATCTTTTTAAGTGGGAGAACTTGCACAATTGGTGGCTGACTAAATACTTTTTTCCCCCACTGTACCTGTATATTATCATTATTGTTTAATGATGCTGTCAGTCACAGTCACAGAAGAGAACTGAAATATTCAAGTTGTCATTCAGACTGTTTGAAGTGAAGAAAGCCATAACAGTTTGCTGGATTCTATTAATAATTCCATATATTAATTTATATTCCTGTTCCATCTAGTCCATCATTCCATTGTTCCTCCTCAGTCACCAAATGATATTCAAACGAAACCCCTCAGTGTGAACTGAAAACAGGCTATTTTCCGAAAAAACGTTCCCCCATTATGAGAGCAAAGTGAGGTAAATCCAAAGTGACACCATATGTTTGTTGAAGGGGGAAGCTCAGTATGCCATGGCGTGCGGCTTCCTCGTCCGCTGCATGGTCTTGGTGTCAGGTCAGGGTCTGCTGGTCTGTGGTGATGTCTAGCTTTCCTGTCATAAACCATCCTCATCATCTCCACCATGAGATGCTGTCCACTGACTGTGATCTACGAGGACACCAGCCCTCCTCTTTTTTTCACAGTGGCCTTGGCTTCCCATCACTAGAGAGCTTAACAATAGAGGCAATGTGAGGGTGCTGTATGAGAAGGGCAAGGAGCCAGGGCCTTTGAGAAGAATCCAAGGGAGTAGAAAAATGGAGAGGGAATGTGATGTCATCCCCATTGGATGTCACTATGGCTCAGTTTGAAAATGGGTTCTTTGGAGAAATATTTCCTAGATGACTAATGTAAAGGACCCGTGTAGTTAAGTGGTTTCTATACTTGTTACTCATTGCTAGTGTCACAGTAGATAATAGAGGAGTTATAACATTGCTATATATTTTGGGATACCTTCTTGTTAATGCTGAGTGTAATAAATCCAACATGATTCTCTGAGAGATTGTACAATTGTAACTTGAAAGCTAGACCTTGTTAAGGAAGGATACGTGTGTGTATTTTCCAAGAGGAGCAAAAATGTGAGTGTAAATGAGAGAGTAGAACCGATTACAATGAGCGGAGGACCAGCAGGTCAGTAACTCCAGAGTGAGGAGCCATTGTAATGGACTGGACTGTGTCAGGTGCACATCCCATCTTCAGCTCAGCGTACTTAAACAGAAATGTACTATTCTTGACAGTTTACATAGCAACCCAAATGCCAGAATCCCTGAAAGTTCAACTAAGCACAAAGAGTAAATAACCTACCGCTTGTATCAAATAAAATAAAATAAAATGTTATACAACAGGTGTAGACATTACTGTGAAATGCTTACTTACTGTCTTCAGTGTTCGAACAGAGACCCTGTTTTCCCATGCAGCCATCATAGTTTACACACACACATGCACATGAGCATGCATGCACACACACACGCATGCACACACAGACACACACACACACCTCACAGCTAGTCCTGAAGTCAGTTGATTTAGGTGAGTGTCCACACTCTGGGGGTAAATACAGATCTCATCACTGTGCTCTGACTAAGGCCTGACTGAATGACTGAGTGACTGACTGGTTGACTGTTTTCAGGTACTGTGTGTGTCTCCCCTGAGAGAATGAGACAGGGCGACAAAGCATTATGTCAGCAGTAACCAGAGATGGTGCCCATCATGCATGAGAGAGATATAAAAACTCTGACTCATGACAAACACTAGGAGACCTGGCAACATTTTAACACATTAAGGGACATCTGAGACCAGTACACCCTTGTGTTAAAGAAAAGATTGATCACTGTAACCATAACAAACTACTGTTTATTCCCTGACATTACAGTAAACTCCTTGTTGGGTCGGGGAACCAGCCCCCCTCACTTAACGTAATAACACCACATTATAGAGAGTAACTGCTTTACATAAATCATACGAATGAAATCAAAATAAAGACTTTAAAAGAAATGGGATCCAGAGTGATGCCAACTTCTCATCAAACATTTCTTTAACACAGACCAAGACCATCGAATAGATCTGAATAATTATAATTACCTCATGCATGCCACGGCCTATCTTTAGAAATAGCTCAAATGTTGCCTACTGATAATCTGATATATGATCAAATTAATAGATTGTCTCAGTTTTGTCACACGTTTAATTATATTCTATTGAGCTTTATTGATGAAAGAGACTATAGAAAGAGTGAGATATGTTGAATATTGTGCTTGAACTGCAAGACTCCTATTACTGATAACTTCCTCAGTTCAAATCAGTTGGGCAAAACCTGTAATCAACCCTAGTGCAACAGATCAAAGGTCTGTAGGTGGGTGTTGATATGTTAGTCAGTCATCTAGTGCTGGCAGTCAGAGGTTAGATAAATATCTGCCAGTACAGTATTTTGCTTGGTGACCATAACTATTGGATCAGTATGCCTTTTACAGTAAAATGGGGGAGTTACCGTATGGGAATATGAGGGGCGAATGAGGCTTACTGAGAGCATTTTGTGTAAACACAAACACCACCCCCCTGAACGAGGCTGTTGCTTTGGATAGCAGGATAATGCCGGGGATTCCCTGCCAAGCTGCTGGCCCAGGCCCACTCTGTGTGTTACTCTGTACTGTGTTAGGCTATGCTGTGTGTTACAGTACAGGAGGCCTGCTGTGGTTTTGGGGGATGATTGTGTGACAGACGGAGGGAGGGATTGAGTATAATATAACAGGGCCTGGCTGCATGTGGAAGTGGGGACTAGGGGTGACTCTAGCTAGCACTAAGCCCCATGCAGCAGTACCAGCTGGGTCTCTCAGGCTTTTACACTCAATATTAGCATAAAGCAGAATTATGCTCCTTTGTGTTAAATGGGACATTTCCAATGTTGCACTCAAAACTGGGGAGAACAGCCGTCTGAACAGCCGTCTGAACACCTGAAGGTGGGTGAATGGAGTTACAGTCACAGCGAGGTTAGAGGTGAAGAGAACTCACGCTTTGAATGAAACAAATGTACCTTTAAGAAAGAAGGGGAAAAGGGTCTGAAAAATGATTAACTTAGAATTGGGATCAGAGAACATGAAGGACTTTGGAGAAGAAAGACAGGTAAGGTAAGCATAACCTTTAAAGGAAGAGGTGTCTACAATGACTTGTAGAGGAGACTGAGTTGAGACAGAGGCTGTTGTAGGATTATGAATCTAATGTTTGCATGCCCTTGCATAATAATAACATTAGCATCTTTTCAACATTTGGATGGATGCATAAAAGCTGAGCTGTGATTTAGCTATTTTACTCAGTCACTGCTGACACCCTGCTGTGATCCTGCCTGAATGCGTTATTTTTGTTTTCTGTGTGTCACGTGGTATTCTCTCTCTCCTAGGGGCTGCTACAGTGTGTCAATGTAGTAATCTGACTATTCCTACTGTACTTGGTGTGGCTGCTCACAAAACAATGGGGCACAGTTACAATCATGGCCAACAAACACTGTATGTACGCAAATCTGCAGGCTGGTGCACAATGGCAGCATGAATATATTTTTGTGAGACTGTGTGTGTCTATGTGTTTGTGTCTGCATGCGTTTGTGTAGAAGAAGGACAATCATCGCTTGTTCGTGTGTGGAGGGGGAGAGAGTGGGTGAGAGGGGACGGGAGGGGAGGAAAAAAAGAATGAAGTTGTGGGAGTGTGTCTGTGCGAGTGTTGGGAGTTCCACTGATAGACCTTTTGTGTAGAGCAGCTCTCAACATATGTATTAGTTTTGCTGTCTGTCTCACAAAGATAAACTCATTATAGGGATTAAATGGTGCACTGTGAAGAGAGAAGAATGTCCTCCCTCTTACTAAAGCTTGGATGCTTCTATCTCCTACTGTACTGTAGCAAGCAGGGCTGGATTGCTAAAGGCAGACAAAAACATGCTGTTCTGCAACAAAGTAGCAATAACTACCCTCTTTTACCTTAATTTGAATTGATAATCCAGGGTAATTATTAACTTCCACAGTTTAGACCGTACACCCTCCAGGTTCTTTGCAGACACTTTGATGTAGTGAGTACTCTCCATTCATTGGGTACTGTATGTGTTCCAGACAGCACTCCCGAATGGCTTCTCTGCCTTTTGGGACACAGTGGCGGGGATCCAGGATATCTTTATTACAGTTCCACTGCTCAGGCTATCAGATCTAACAGCGACTGGAAACCACTTTCATATGATAGCCTATCGCTGTCTTCTGAGATGCACAGCGCAACTACAAAAACCGCAGCATGTTATGGAGGTAATATACTGTTGGCCTGAATAGGCCTAGTTGATGATCTGTTTTGCTGTGGTGGTGGGTACTCGTGTAGTGTGAAGACAGCTAGCTGCAGTGGTGTACTGTCTGTGTCACTTGTGTCTTTAAGGGGAGAGAGGATGTGGGCGAGACAGAGGCTGCAGGGGGAGACTGGCTGCAATGACGGTGACAAAATTTCCATCCATTTTTCAGTTTTCTGTCTTTGTTCAATTTTGCATGGGCCCTATGCTAACTTCGGGAGCCCAGGCTTCGAACAAAACACAATTTGGATGGGTGGCCTCTGGAGAATAGCCCTGTGCTGGTCTCTAACAACACAAAATACACCCACTGGTTTTGTCTAGCAATATAAACCTTGGTAAGTTTTTTGCTAAACCCTGTTCTTATTATGGGCTGGGGGATGGTCTCTGTCAGCTAGGCTATATCCCCTCAGCCTCAACCCACCCCCAAAGAGATGACCTTTTGGATTGAATCCCCCTAAGGTAAATAGAGTGGTTTGACTGCGGCTCGATTTAGTGGTGCTGGGTTGACTGCAGCTGGATTTAGTGGGGTGCACATATGGTGACATCCATTAGCCAAGATCAGCCATCATAATGAGCTCTGACTAGTGGGCCTCCATACCAGTATACGGCTGTAGAGAAATGCAGTATGGGGTTAGTGCGAAATCTTGTACTGATGACGATAATGTTGTGAATGAAGATGAGGATACTCTCTGACCTCTAACCTCCTTGTTCTCTCCCCAGGACCATGGACCTGAGCTTGCATGACGCTCTCACGGATGGGGTGCCCCAGTCGGGCCCGGACAACCCGGTGAGGAGGGACTTCATGGCTTCCCTGGAGAAAGAGACCTTTGATGACAAAGTGGGCGAGACTGTGGGAAAGACTGACTACCGCCCTCTGCTGGACGGGAAGGATGGAAAAGGTAAACTGGGATGCAGGATGTATGGAGGCTTTGTGGGAATGGGTTAACCCACAGAGAGAATTGGGGCAGCAGAGAGACAATCCAGTGAGAGGATTTAGCTGATTATTTTGCTCAGTAAAAGCATATATTGTGACGTATACCTGAATGTCAGCTGCTTACAACTTTAGGATAGACAATCTGTGAGTTCCCTGCCTCCACTTTAATCCCTCTTTTATATCTATACAGATTATCCTTATCTCATATGCATACAATATCATGTACACATATGCTATTGTGTGTACAGTATAGTATGTGTATCATGTAGTGTGTAAGCAAATGTGTTAAATAATGGAGAGAGAGGAGACCTAAGAGACAGAGGAACCAGGCCAGACAATGTTCAGGAACAGAACCACCCGCTCCAGCGCCTGTTATTTACTGTACACTCTTCCTGCCACAGCGTGTGTGCGTGTGTGCGTCGTGTGGGTGCCTGTGTGTATGTGTGCACCCGCACTCGCGTGGATGTGTGTGCATGTGCTGTTTGTTTTGGTTTGTTGCTGCCATCCTACTGTATTGAAGGGCAACACCACTACTGTTGAACCTCATTTTGATGATCTACAGCACAATGATAGTGTCTCCATACACTACCAGTCCAAAGTTTTAGAACACCTACTCATTCAAGGGTTTTTCTTTATTTTTACTATTTTCTACATTGTAGAATAATAGTGAAGACATCAAAACTATGAAATAGCACATATGGAATCATGTAGTAACCAAAAAAGTGTTAAACAAATCAAAATATATTTTATATTTGAGATTCTACAAATAGCAACCCTTTGCCTTGATGACAGCTTTGCACACTCTTGGCATTATCTCAACCAGCTTCATGAGGTAGTCACCTGGAATATATTTCAATTAACAGGTGTGCCTTAAAAGTGAATTCGTGTAATTCCTTCTTAATGCGTTTGAGCCAATCAGTTGTGTTTTGACAAGGTGGGGGGGGGTATACAGAAGATAGCCCTATTTGGTAAAAGACCAAGTCCATATTATGGCAAGAACAGCTCAAATAAGCAAAGAGAAATGACAGTCCATCATTACTGACATGAAAGTCAGTCAATATGGAAAATGTCAAGAACTTTGAAAGTTTCTTCAAGTGCAGTCGCAAAACCCATCAAGCACTATGATGAAACTGGCTCTCATGAGGACCGCCACAGGAATGGAAGACCCAGAGTTACCTCTGCTGCAGAGGATAAGTTAATTAGAGATACCAGCCTCAAAAATTGCAGCCCAAATAAATGCTTCACAGAGTTCAAGTAGCAGACACATCTCAACATCAACTGTTCAGAGGAGAATGTGTGAATCAGGCCTTCATGGTCGAATTGCTGCAAAGAAACCACTACTAAAGGACACCAATAAGAAGAAGAGACTTGCTTGGGCCAAGAAACACGAGAAATGGACATTAGACCGGTGGAAATGTGTCCTTTGGTCATGAGTCCAAGTTGGAGATTTTTGGTTCCAACCGCCGTGTCTTTGTGAGACGCGGTGTGGGTGAACGGATGATCTCCGCATGTGTATTTCCCACCATAAAGCATGGAGGTGGGGGTGCTTTGCTGGTGACACTGTCTGTGATTTATGTAGCATTCAAGGCACACTTAACCAGCATGGCTACCACAGCATTCTGCAGCGATACACCATCCCATCTGGTTTGGGCTTAGTGGGACTATCATTTGTTTTTCAACAGGACAATGACCCAACACACCTCCAGGCTGTGTAAGGGCTATTATACCAAGAAGGAGAGTGATGGAGTGCTGCATCAGATGACCTGGCCTCCACATTCCCCTGACCTCAACCAAGTTGAGTTGGTTTGGGATGAGTCAGATGGCAGAGTGAAGGACTAGCAGCAAACAAGTGCTCAGCATATATGGGAACTCCTTCAAGACTGTTGAAAAATAATTCCAGGTGAAGCTGGTTGAGAGAATGCCAAGAGTGTGCAAAGCTGGCATCAAGGCAAAGGATGGCTATTTGAAGAATCTCAAATATAAAATATATTTTGATTTGTTTAACACTTTTCTTTGTTACTACATGATTCCATATGTGTTATTTCATAGTTTTGATGTCTTCACTATTATTCTACAGTGTAGAAAATAGTAAAAATAAAGAAAAACCCTTGAATGAGTAGGTGTTCTAAAACGTTTGACCGGTAGTGTAGGTGAAAATGGAGCATATCTACATTTTGTATAAAAAAAGGTCTACCCGATGACATTTTAAAAACAGTGATTTTCAAAGACTATGAGATTCGTGGTGACATGGGGAGCAATAAAAAACCCTCCCCTTAGCTAGAAAGTCATTGCACGTTTTGAAAATCGCTGTTTTTATACGTTTAATCCTACCCTGTGATGTCACAGAGAAGGATTATTTAGGGCCGTTTTATCTTTTTAACTACAGTTGATAGAAATGTGTTGTTTTCACATACAGTATTTAGACACTGGTTCGGTGCTGGAGACAATTAATATTAGGTTGAAAAGTGATGGAATTGCCCTTTCAGTTTGTGTGTCAACCTGAACCAAAGTCAAAGAGGGACAATGTGTATTTAAAAAATATTATTTGTGACTCACACCATTTCTTATGCAGTCTTTGGGATCTCTGTGATTCAGTGGTATTGTGCACTGATGTTATTGTGAACAGATTTTTCCTGAACTTGAACTTCATCTTGGGTGGCAACTTCCCCCTGATTTTATCTAAAATAAATTTCACACAAAAAAATTGCCTACTGGAAAACTGTGTTTGTTTCCATCTGCCAAGAAAGTGCTTCACAGTTCATGAGAACTCTGTCAAGAGCATTTGTGGAAATTCACTCCTTTGGGCCATTCCCATCACTGTGGTTCACCCTCAAATGTAATTGTTTATTGTGTTGCATGGGCACATTTTCACAGCTGAATCATCCTCTTTTGGCTATGTTGGATGGCAATTGGTATTTTAGCCCCAGATTGCAATACCTATTTTGCACAGGAATAACAACAGAGAAAGTGAGAGAAAAAATCATAGAACAAAAAGTTCAGAGAATAAAGATTATTTTTCATAACTCTACCATTAGACAACGCTGCTCCTCACAGAAACAGTAGAAGTACATAGCCAGCTAATAAATGTGACCGGTAATATGATAAAGCTCAAATGTACAGCGATAAATCTCCTCCACTCCAGATATAAAATCCATCCTTCCAGTCAGTTCCTTCAGATCCAACTCTCTAACCCACAGACAGTCTCATTATACCTCAGACAGACAGACAGACTCCAAGCACCCAGAGCACTCCCTTTCTCTCTCTTTCTCTCCCTCTCTCTCCATCTATCTCTCTCTCACCTCTCCCTTTCTACTTCTCTCTTTTTCGCCCTCTCTCCATCTAGATGACTATCACTGTCTTTGTCCATCTCTCCCACACTCCCTCTCTTTCTTTGTCACTTCCAGAAGTGTCAGCCTGGAGACACGGTTCAGCATTAGCATAGCCCTGACTGGAGCAACATTACAGACTCAGTCATGCACAAGTCAGGACACAGCAATGTCAATCAACACCCAGGCCATTAACATCCTCTCCTCTGGTGTCTTGGCTACATCGGTTGCATGTTAATTATCCTGCTCTCAAACTGTAAATATTGACATGCATATTCAGTCAAAACAAAGGATTAGGATTAGGGGTGGATTAGAGGAGGTATTCTTTGAACTCAGAGGCTTTATGACCTCCATGTCAATCCGAACTGGACACATTGATTTCTTTAAAAGTGGAGTTGATTGACACAGATGACGTCAGCTTTTCCACACAGCTGCTTGATTTAATGATGTCTAATTAAGATAAACCAACATCCTTAGGCTACGCTACATTATGGGGTTTATTTCAGGAGGGCATTCAGAACACAGTGTACATTGTAGCATGTTGGCTAGTGACAGCAGTGTGTTGCATGATAGAGGCTCTGCGTTGAGCATGTGACTGCAGTATGCTGGAACAACAACAATAGCAGAAGGAGGAAACAGCTCGGGTGAGCTCATCAAAAAGACAGAACACCAGTGTTGGCAGTGCAGATCTGTGTGTGTGTGCTGATTTCAGCATCTCCTCTGTACTGTATGATGATTGATGCTTTTAGAACAAGAGCTCTGGTCAGCCGCTGTGTAGATCAAGGTTTTCCCAAGGAGATATGAGAGCATTTGCTGCTTATCAGTCACGTACTGTACACTAATCCTTTTCTTTGATACTGTAAGTTCATTCAATACTGTACATATTCTAAATGTTTCTCTGATTTAGCTTCTGTTGGATCTAGTCAATATTCTTAGGATGTCTGATTTGTGGAGTGACAATTCAACATGCCTTCTTCCCTGAACTGAAGCCACACTACATTGAAAGACAAGTAGGAAAACGTATATTTGTATGTGAAATGTCAGTGGGAAATACACAGTAATTGAAGTTATTGTATCAGTCTATCATCCTAGCATGATTAAAGGGATTCAACCCATGTTGTTGCCCCTCTCCTTGACCTACACAAAGTCATTGCTATGTTCATCAATCATTAAAGGCCTTCCCAGAATCTTCCCCATCCCATTCCTTCTCCCCTTCCCCAACGCCCTTCAATCTCAAAGTCATTGGTTGGTTACTTTGTCAATTGTCATATGGAGTTGTCATATAGAATTGGATACTTTGATTTTTGCTTTTCCCTTCGCCTGTTTGTAGTAAAGAATCAAAGATCAGGCCTACATATGCTTATGACGAACAGCAACACAAAATGAGAGAAACCCATACATATACAGGAGGGAGTACAAAACATCTCTTCTCACTGTACAGCATTAATCATTATTATGAAAATTATGCAATTTTCTATTTTCGCTACACCAATTATCCCATAACCGGTGAACAGATATGTATGCAGCTGAAACATGCCTCTCACGGAGGAGGAGGCTGAAGCAGGGGGTGCCTGCCAAATGGTGGTGTAGCACTGGAGAGGTTTGACAAGCTGAGTGCATGTCAACCCCACGGGTACCGTCTGGAGCTGAGGCTGGGGCTGATTCCCATTCAGGCGATAGAAGATGATGGACTTTATCAGCTCTCTGGCCTCTGAGAAATAGCCCTCGAACAATGTCTTAGAAATTAGAAATAGCCCCTGGAACAATATATTATGTGTTATGTCCAGCGTTAGGCCTATGTGTCATTCACCTACAGCCTATTGGGACAATACCATAACAGCTGGTGTAAGATAATGACTTGTGTATTCAGTGTGGGTGTAAACTCATTAGTCACAGAACACATACACCATACTTTAGTGGTCCATTAGCAGTCCATGGAGAGCAATCCATCCCTCCTACACACACAACACAACTCCCTCCATCCTCGTAAACCCCATTAATTTAACATGCTCATAAATGCCAGTCAAGTATAACATATTTTACACTTAATTTCTCACAACCACTGCCTTATTTACTTACTATTTAAACACAGAAATCATCAAACATCTGCTTATCCTCCATTCTGCACCTTACGTAAGGGTGTCCTTACATAAGTGCCAGGCTAGCAGACAGGCTTCTGTGCTGACGGAGTGAGGGAGAGGGAGGAAGGTCATTGTGACTCCTCCGGCAGAGTACAGAGGGAGCCATCGCACCCAGCATGACTTGGCAGTCTTTTGGTCTAGACACTAACTACCTCACGGCGCGTCTGCTTTTACGAGTTATATTCTCTTATTGTTATTATTGCTCCTGGACCCTTGTGTCACAACAGGATATTTGTATTTTATCTCCCTGCCTGCAGTTTGGGCTCCTAACTTCCCCTCTGTCAGAGATAGGCTACTTGTCTTGAATATCCATATGGTGTTTGGCTCCCTCAGCGATCCCAGGGCATCCCCTGTAGTTCACTTCTGAAACCGGAGAGTTCAAACTCCCCAAACACATAATTTAGGTGTCCCTTTCAATTTAACCGAGAATAGCCTGGACCGAATTTAATTTCTGAGGTATCATACAATACTGCACCAGACAGGAGACCTAAATAATACAGTGTAGCCTACAACTCATGCGAAGCGAAACTATTTATAGTTAACTGTGGCTGTGAGAGCACTGACTGCGGTCTACTGTATCTGTTGTCTGATCAGATGTTGTGTGTGTATTCTAAGACCAGTGTGATATTGTTAGCCCTGGTTCCATTGGTTCTGTGCCATCCTCGGGAATAGTAAACTCTGGTTTCCTATGCCAGGGAAGTCTCTGCCATGCTCTGTGTGTCAGGACTGATGTCAGGTCAGACACTGTGCCAGCCCGGCCAGGGTGTTGCTGGGGCGGTGGGGATGTGGTTTTTGGGCTGTGTTGGCATAACTCCACTTATGTGTTCTGAGGGGAGGCGGACGTGCTGCATGGAACGTACATAGGAGAGGACCAACACCTTGATGGTCCCCAGAGGCTGCTGTTGCTGAGCAACACAAAATGCTGGGACTTACACCTTCCCTCACGTGACTCTTTCAGATATCTTTGTTTTATCATGAAAGATGTGCTGGTATTTAACACTAGAACCTGGTGTGTGTGTGTATTTCTCCCCGTTTGGTATTTTGTATGTCTCATTGAAGGACATATCACACAGTACTTGACTCTACACGCTGATGGATGACTTTATGACTTTATTTTTGTAATATCACCTAAGTTGCATCTAGTCAAGCAGAAGAGGTCAGATTGACATGCAATGATTTCTCTGGGGTTGTGTGTGTTTGAATGTAGCTCCTGTAGCTCAGTTGGTAGAGCATGGCGCTTGCAACGCCAGGGTTGTGCTTTCGTTTCCCACGGGGGGCCAGTATGAAAAATGTATGCACTCACTAACTGTAAGTCGCTCTGGATAAGAGCGTCTGCTAAATGACTAAAATGTAAATGTATATGGGCTGAATGATCTGGTAAAACAGTGGAGCCCTACAGGAGTAAACACCAGATAGTACAGTGAGTTCCTCTAGGCTGTAATTTAAGCTTAAACTGAGGTTTTTATGTCAATCATTTATGACACAGACGGGAAAGGGTTGCCGCTGGAACCTCAGATGCTCTCGTCTGGTTGGTCGGTTGCGTAACCATAGTAATGGCCCTTGGTGCTGTACTGTCCCCTCTCGTCACTGTCACCCCTCTGCTGTGTTCCAGAGAGGGCTGCTTTTAGGGACAGCACCCTGAGACACATTAGAGTAGCCTATTAGTCTAGGCCAGACATCAACTGACATGTTAGATCAGGTGGGTATTCAATGTGCTTGTCAGTTGTTGGAGGTGGAGTTCATAGAACTAAACATTTCTAGAGTAGCCTAGCATAGCAAAAATATATATAACTGTGTCCAAATACTTATGAAAGGCACTGTAGCCTACATTGAAACCAGGAGGGCAATTTTGCTTGCAAGCTTCGTGAGTGGTAGGGTTGCAAATCTACCGGTAATTTACCAAAGTTACCAGAATTTTCAGTAGTTCAGGTAATTCTTTGCAGTCTATGGAAGCAATTGGTCATTTATACTTTAATCACTTTAAAATATATATATAAAATTACAATTTTTTCTTTAACTTTAACTTTTAGGCAGGGGCAACAGAGTTAGGTACTTTAGCTTAACATGGTCACATGCAATGTTAGCTAAGCTGCAAGTGTGCACGGGCGTGCAGCTCCCCCGGGACTGCAGCGCAGAAGAAATATCAGCCCGTGCAGAGAAGCACAAGATTGATCTTCACTTAACTTTCTTGAGTTTTCCCCTTTAGTTAACACTATCAACATTTCCCTTTACTGTGGGAATTGTGATTGAATCAATGCAATATTAGCCACTTTCAATGCAACATACCGAAACAAAACAAACTATGCAAGAGATGTTGTTGTAGGCAGAACGCATCAGAGTAGGATTCCATTGTATTGACAAGCATGACTCAGTCCGTACTCTACACAGACGGGTGTGGCATAACCAATCAGAGCTGCAGTAGTCTAATATGCAAATAGACCATTGCCATATATGGATCTATGCCATTCACTTTGAACTGGACTGTGTTTACAGCATGAGTGGACGTGAGTAGGTGCGCTTGTTTTGAGATCAAAGCGAGAGCTGCATGTAGCCACTTGTGCACATTTTTTCATATCCTTTGCTAGTTAGTGAGTTATTAGCCCAGTTATAGATCATTTGTAGTCAGCAATGGAGGAGTGATTGCTTCTTAAAAGAGCACAAAATGTGTACATTTCTAGACATCTTTGAAAAGAGAGTCAGGTATATATTTTTATATTTTGAGACAGCCTTGAATAAACTAAGTAGCCAATAGGCAGAGGGTAGCATACTTTGTCTGATTCTCTGTAATAATGGTATGGGAATAATAATGAATTTTATTTTGTAAAGTGGTTTCTTGCATCAAACAACACAACAACATTTTCAATCACCTCCTTGTCTGAAGGAAAAGTGGATAAGCAGGTTAATGTCAAGCCCTGCATGTTTTTTTCAAAGGTCTCATGGAATGTAGGCCTACATTGAACACCACACATTGGCTGCTACTGTAGGCTGAATGAAAGAACAGCTATTTCCATGTTAAAATGTTATGGGATGCATTTTCTCCATTGTTTTTGATGGTAGGCAACTCTGTTAGGCTGACATTATGATCTAATAGCCACAGTAGCCCACTTGACCACTGTCTGAAACTGTAACTTAAAGCGGGTACAGCCTCAGTGTTCACAGTAAACGCACGCTGGAAGTTGCACAGAATTTTCACAATGTTAAAGTTTGCGCTCAGCAGACTTGAAATTTGCTCAGTGGCGAAAAGAATTAGAGGGAACATTGGTCACATGACTTGGTCACTTGGTCCTATCTCTAACACTCGATTTTCAGTCCTGATGTTGATGTCCTGTTTTTTGCCTCTCTTCATTGCAGGCTCCAGTATGATGCCAGGAGGACAGATGGGGACGGGGATGCAGCGGCAGGAACCAATGGGAGAGAAGCATCCCTGTCAAACTGGACAACAGTCTGCCTTCAATGCTGACTACCTTTCAGGTGAAGCTTCTATCCCCCGGTTTGAATTCCTCTAGTGTTTTACTGTATGTATGCTCAAGCGATAAGGCATGCCCAGTGAAAAGGCATTTTGTGAAAGGACAGGTTTCCATTGTTTCTATATCTGATTATATTTTACTGTCATAGTCATTTGTTTATCCTTATCATCAAGAGCCTAAGATGCTAAAGATCCCTCTGTGGTATATTAAGCTGTCTGGTTACCTAGAGCTGCCTGCCAAGTATCCCTGGCACAGCCCGGGCACTCTCAGGAATGTAAATTGGGCATTACGGTAGTGCAGGACTGCTAGTTAAACGCGTGCCTGCATCTAAGTAAGGCTGTTACATTTTACATTTACATTTTAGTCATTTAGCAGACGCTTTTATCCAGAGCGACTTACATGTTGTTGTCTTCTTGTTGCTGTCTTCTCTGACCATCTGGACATTCATATTCCATAGCTAACTATGATTTATGTGATTGTGAATGTGATCACTATCTCCTTTGGGGGTTTTAGGCTGGCTATTCATTTGCGTCTGTGGTGTACTCATCTGTCATTGGTAGCTGATGTCTGATGTCTCTCTCTCTCTCTCTCTCTCTCTCTCTCCTCTCTCTCTCTCTCTCTCTCTCTCCTCTCTCTCTCTCCTCTCTCTCTCTCTCACTCACTTTCTCTCTCCCCCTAACTTATCTCTAGGCCCAGTGTCTAGTATGATGGGAATGTCTGGTGATCAGTGGGGGAACCAGAACAAAGGAATGAAGGACAGCAACATGCCAGACTCTCTCATGGGTACTGCTTAATAATACTGTACAGTGTTTATGTAACACCATCATGTAGTTAGGGCTGTGACGGTCATGTAATTTTGGATGACGGTATTTGACCAGAGCCAAATGACCACGGTCACCGTAATAACCTTTAGAATAAAATAAAAAATATATAAAATATATAAATATAATATATATATATTTTTACACACATTTTCTCCTCTTCGCTCCTGACTGCACGGGCTGCCATAGAAATATAATGAATAGAACAGGCATCCCCATTCAAGTCAATGAAGCAGGAAGTAAAATATGTGCTAAAATATGTTCTGTGATTTGTTGATTCAACCAGAGATACTTTTGAGGAGATGAGAAACTCCATTGGAATCGTATTTACGCCCATTGTGTACATTGCCTATGCGTCATCAATGGGCCATGCGGTGCATTCTGGGCGATTCTAGGACAAGGAGAGCACTCCTTCAAGAAGTGAATTGGAGTAAATTGGGCCATTGATGACGCATAGGCAACGTACACAATTGGAGTAAATTGGAGTAGATTGGGCTCAAAAATCCAACATTAGTATGAATTCTGTGAACAAGAAGTACAACGTTACAAATCTTTTCAGAGAAATTAGATAATTAACTTGTTCTCTGTAATATCGTATAGCTTTGGAATCGTGACATTATGTAGGCCTACTTTCAAGGAAAATAGGCAGGTTTCTCGACTCATACCCTGACTTTAAGAAGGGATTGCGTGACGATTAGCTTATCTACCGCATGACGCAGTATGACAAAGTGGACGTGATTGGTTGACAGTCTGCTGTGTTTGGTGTTATACGTTTTTCCATTCATTGCCCAATGGGATTCCTACCTTCTCCTTTCTCTAATATCTCTGACTCAACTCAACTGGCATTACATCAATACATTCCATTGCATGAGCCACATCAGTTAACATCATTTGAATGAACATTCTACATTACCATGGAAATTATTGCATCACAATAACAGGCAGCCATTGCTAGTGTACCTATGAGTTTACCAGTAAAATTTCCAGAGTTAGAGGTGCGAAGCCCATTCTATTCATTATATTTCTATGTGACTTCGCTTGTTTCAGCAAGGCGCAACAAAGTTTTGTCACGTTAAGAGTCCATGTTATGGAAGAAACGGACTCAACCACACGAATGCCCGACCGTCCCGTCTTCAATCAGCTGTTTGTCTCAGGGAACCAGTGGCAATATATCTAAAACTTTCCCTTTGGATGACTAAGTTATGTTAGGTTATGACGGTCATTTTATTTTCATGACGGTCTTCACCCATAGGCTAACCGTCGATTACATGGTTATACGGTAATACGGTAATTGTGCCAGCCTTACATGTAGTGCTTATCACTGTGTATTATAGCACAATATAGTAGTAATAACCTGTATAATAGAGTAGTTATAACACATCATAGAATAGAATAACCTGTTTGTCTTAATTCCACTCCCAGGTTTCTCCCATCCAGGGATGATGAGCATGAACATGAATATGAACATGGGTTAAGGAGGTATGGGGGGCATGGCTCCATTCCAGTCAGGAATGCCTCTTATGGGCAACCCTCAGAAGGCCTCTCCTCTGTTTGCCGCTGAGCCCCCCAAGCAGTCCCAGGCCCCCTTTAAACCCAATGACCACTACCCCTCTGCCCCGGGCCACAGGTAAGAGGTTGTCTCACACAGAGCAGGTCAACTGGGGGCCTGGGTGGGATTTCCAGAGGTCCAGTCACCAGTTACAGTAAAACACAGTATCAAATGTCAGGAAATCCAATAGGTTTTGATGATGATAGAGCTAAAATGTGACCATGAACAGGGTAAACTTTAACCGTCACTTTTTCTAGAGGGTTCCTCAAAGTGCCAGAACCTTAGTCATCCAAAGGGAACGTTTGAGATATATTGCCACTGGTTTGTTTACAAACTAAATGCAGAACTTGTAGTTAAAAGCCGGCTAGTGGTATTAGTTGTTACTTACATAACGGTTATTTTATTGTAGCGGCCATCAGAGCAGAAATCCAGTGCTGCTCTTTCGTTTATACTTCAGATCTTACTGTAACTTTATAACATTTGTTTGAGAAGCAATAATAATTATGTGATGAGATTCCTAACCTTATTTATTAGAAATAAAGATAAGAAAAATAAATAAAATCCTTAGATAACCCCCCCCCCCCCCCCCCCCCCCCCCCCCCCCCCCCCGCGTCTGAGGCCTAATTGAAGTGCTCCGTTATATTTGGAATAAAATATGTATCTTTAAATATTTATCTTCAGCTCCTTACCCACCTTGACATTGCTTTCTGAGTGAGGCAACCGCATAGACTACAAGTAATGGGCCTTCTGTCAGGAGGCCAAACTGAGGCTTTGGATTAAGACGCACTCTTCACTTTTTAAATACCAATATTGCATGAAACATAGATGATAACGCTACCGGATCTCCTGCACATGGTGTTTAACATAGACACATAATCAGTGAAGGAAGTACATTAAGGAAAATAGCACATCAGTCAATTAGAGAAGAGGGCAGGGATACACAATTTAGAAGAAATATCCATTATCATTAACGATTGGGGTGAGAGAGGGGAGGTTTTCATTATTTTTCATTTGTCTCTGCCCTGCCATGATAAGTATTGGGATGGTACTACCCATCAGTATTAACTAAGAAACATGGACGCAGAGAGGTTTTTGGCCACTGTAATGTCTTTATCACAACATAAAAAAAGAGCATGTGCTGTATGTTGTTTTTGTGTGTACCGTATCTTTCAGTTATTCATATATTTATGATTTTTTTGTAAATATTGTCTACTTCTAACACTGTCCTCTTCAGTATTTGTTTGTACTGGGTACCCCATGTCACATTACCCCTTCCTCTGGATTCATTGTTTGTCTGTGTTTATCTATGTGACCTGCCTCTGTTGTTGTTATGCAGTCTGCCTGTTCCTTGTACATTAATTCATTTGCTCATCCGCTCATGCGATGTGCTGTCTAGTGTACATTAAACATCACACTGGTCAGTCTCAGCACAATCTCCATTCTCCCCCTGCCCCGGCAGAGAGAATCACACCCAATCAGCTGCAAGCTCAGAGCAGTGCACACAAAAAAAACTGTCCCTCTTAAGGCTAACATGTAATCCATAAGCCTAAAATTCACATTCTATAAGCCTACTTGCCAGGCCGTAAATAAATTATAGTGGAGGTCGTGTCAGTATGACTTAACTTACATAAATTCAAAACTCAAGGCACAATTTTATTTAACACAATTGATTGAATCATTTTTATTTGTAGTTTAATACGATTATTTTCTACTCAGTGGTTGAGTTTCATAAATTTAGGTCGGAATTTCTTAGAGCAGATAAGATATACCCTGATTTTACTGGAGAGGATTGGCAATTGGTTATTGGTCTTTACTATGGGTAGTGACATTCCTTCCTCCTCTCTGCTCATCAAGAAGTTTGGACAAACCCAAACCCCTGGGCAGGGGGTCAATCCAGGCTGCAGGCCTCAGAGGGTCTCCCCCTCTCCTCCAGCAACTCAGTGGAGGAGAGCCCCAACTCCGACCCCCTCAGCCCCTATGGCTTCCACAGCCAGGAGACCGGCTCTGGGGACGAGAGGGGGAGTGAAGGGGTCAACAGCAGCAGCAAGCAGCAGAAGAGGAAGAAGAAGAAAAGGAGGTCCAGGGAGGAGGTGTATGACTTCATGGACAGGCAGGAGGCTCCGGATGCAAATGAGGAGGAGGGCGAGACAGAGAGCGGAGCCTCGGACGTCCCTTTGAGCCCGTCCTCCCCGAGCAAGGAGGAGAGCTGGGAGTGTGAGATCCGAGGGAGGGGTGGGGGTAGGATCAGGGGCAGGAAGAATAAGAGCAGGATGAAGCTCCCAGAGGAGTGGGGGCCAACACCCCAGGAGCCAACGACACCCCATGCCACCCCAGCCTCGGTGGCCCTGGAGTCTGCAAGGATCACTGCCTCCGGTCCCTTAAGTTCAACCCTGGAGAACATCTCCTCCCTCATAGCCGGCCCCCAGACTAACCCTTTTAGCAGTTTTATAGAGGACACCAAACTCTCTCACACCCCCACTGCCCCATCCCTCACTGAGAACCCCAAACCCAGTCACATTCTCACCACAGACCCTGCCCTTACAGACACTTTTACTAGTAACCTAAACATGTTTGAGCAACCTTCCCCTGCCAAGGTCAGCATGGACTGGGAGGCTGAGGCTCCCATTAAAAACACTGCCTCGGCTGCCCTCCATTATGAACCCATGTGTGTTGATGACTTTAAAATAGCCAATAAAGATGTCCTACCCCCCAAGAAGGATGAGGCAGCTCTGTCTTTCACTGACAAAGCCTCCTCTGATCGTGGCCGTCCTGAGGCCATGTCGTCTACTTGTGACCAGAAGCAGCTGGGCCCTCAGAGCTCCCCAGGTCTCAGCCCCCAGGTCTCACAGACCTTCTCCTTCCTAGACTCTGTCCTGCAGACCCCCCAAGCCATCACTCCTGCTTCACAGCCCCAATGCCAGACCACCACACCCCAGGGACCTCCTCCAAACACCACCACCTCCTCCTCTTTCCAGAGCACTCCTCCTCCCCTGTTTAGCCACTCCTCCCAGCCTGATCACGACTCTCCCAGTCCCCGCCCTGCAGTGGGCTCAGGCCTGCCCTTTATCCCCACCGCACTGCCACTCACAGAGCACCAGGAGCCACTGCTGCCAGAGCCCCCCCTGCTGGAAGGTTGGTGACACTGAAGAGGGGACATGTCTATCTATCTATCAGTATGGGGGTGAATGATGACATTATAGTGCATGGCTCTCTCTGTGGACTGGGCCTGCTGTTTCTTGGCCATTATGTGTTTAATAGCACTGGTAATAACACGCTAACTAATTACCACTGCTCTTTAACCTGACTGTGTCTGACTGAGCCTTGAGTCCCTCTTACCTGACTGACTGTCTGGCCTGTCTCTGTAGTACTGTATTGATGATGATGATGATGATGATGATGATTATAATATCATATGCTATGTGTCTGTCTACCTACTGTACCTGATCATGTCAGCTGACCGGCCCAGCTCGTTTGACCTCCTATCTCTATCCTTTCTAACACTGTAATCATATACTAATTACTCTACTGTCTCTGTAGATTACTCTCTGTGTGACTCTTGAGTGAATCCACTCTCCTTGGGATAGAAATAGCTAGCTTTCTCCCCCCTGAATGCAATTATCCTAAATTGCAACAAGTCATTATAGACCTTAACTCTTTGAAATTGACTCAACCTTTCTTCACTAATCAAAGGAATGTTGGTTTGCAGTGTGATTCTCTCTCTTTCTCTCAAGAGACTGATTTCCCCTGACTAAATGATGCTTTTGTTCCTCAAATTGCCTATGCTGACTGAGGAGTCACTAACAGCTTTTCTTTCACGTTCTCTTTCTACTTGTGTGTGTGAATTCACTTTCAGAACCATTTTGAATGTCTCAAAATGATCTTGGCTAGAATTCTTAGATATGCAATTTGACCATTTTAAAACATACACATTTTACTTTCATGCAATTTTTAATTGGAGATATTAAAACAGATTTTTACTCAAATTCTGAATTCCTTGATGTGCAAGTTACCATGTAAGTGTTTGCATGATTAAGCGAACTGAAATGACTGACATCTATGTTTTGTCTTTTCTCCCCCATATGTACTGTATCTCCTGATGATGGCTCTAATGATGATGATGCTAAATAGGTGAGTACATTTCCATTGTTGCCTTTGAGAATATTTAGATGTTTCTCATCAGTGGAATAATATGAAGTGAAACTCAGTGTTTATTTCTTTCCTTATTTACTACAAATGTTTGCAACAGGTTTTTGTTATTTTCAAGTTTTATTGTACTTTGCCTGTCTCACAGTTGGTTAGATATTTTCCATGTCAGGAAAAAGCTGGCACGTGTCTAGTTTGCTCATTCAGTTGGGAATAAGTTTGCCCTAGTTCAGAGACTGTGCTGTGTTGGTCCTTCTCATTTTGGTTTCTCGGTTGGAGATCCAAGGACTGCTAGGTTGTCACTTTCCTAAGTGGCCATCCTGCTGTATAAGGCTGTTGTAGGGATGCTGTTCCTCCTTCCTGGATGACACAGGTGTTTTTGGTTGACAAATGGTGGAAGTCATTAGTATACTTCTTGTCTGTTTGCACCCCTCATATTCCCTTACTCAACCCATTCATCCCATTCAGCAGTCTGTTAATGGGTTATTTACAGATTACCAGGCAGGCAGGTTGGTGTGTGGAGGGACAGTGAGGGACTGGCCTCTACTGGCCTCTCTGTATTCTCACCCCACATCCTCCTTCCTCAATCATCAATCTTTGTTTTTTATCTCCCCTACCGCTCACTCCCTCCATCACCCAGCAAGCCACCTAGCAGCCTCTGGTGTGGGGAGGGGAGGGGAGGGGGAGGGCGAGCGGAGGGCGGGCGAGGGGAGAGAGGAGAGCAGAGCCGAGAGCAGAGGAGAGCGCGCGGAGCGCGAGCGGCGCGCGAGCAGAGGCGCGGCGAGGAGAGAGAGAGAGAGGAGAGAGAGCGAGAGAGAGCGGAGGAGAGCGAGGAGAGCGAAGCGACAGAGGAGCGAGATAGAGAGAGAGCGAGAGGAGAGCGAGAGAGAGATCATATAGAGCTCTCCTATCTCTATCGCTCTATAGAGCTAGCCTCTCTATTCTATCTATCGTATCTCTCTCTCATCTCTCTCTCTCCTTCTCTCTCCCCTCCCTCTCCAATCCTCTCTCCCTAATGCAATATTGATGGCTGGGACTTTTCCGCAGTTACGTAAAGCACACAGCCCTTGTCTTTTTATAGCCGGTGATCAGGCTGTGTGCGGTAGGCAGAGGGAGGCAGATGCTCGGTGGCTGTGCGGTGCGGTACTGCAGTCAGGGTTATCACACCACTCCACCAAAGGTCTGTTTACTGGTACTGCTCAGCCCTGCTGCATAGTCATTATTCTAGTCAGCCGAGCACAGACCATCCTGCCACCAGCTAAACAAAGAGACCATCCATAAGAGCATGCCCAGCCTGGCAAAGCATATAGCTACCGCCGTCGCCACTATAGTACTGATTGAGACGGGCAGTGCTCTGCAGTGTTTCTGTTTTTACGTCGTAGGTACCTTTCAGTAAATACTTCATCATCATGCTGTTGGCTTTAAGTGCAATTCTGTGTTTCACAGTGAATATCATCACACTGGACCATATATGTTGAAGCCAAGTAAAAGGATGGGTGCTATTTTGTGTTGTTTATAATATTTAAAATCCATGCTACCTTTTATGATTTATTAAAGCGGCAATATATAACTTTTTGGGCGACCCGACCAAATTCACATAGAATGTGAGTTATAGATCTGGCATTCTCAATGAAAGCAAGTCTAAGAAGCAGTAGAGCTGTTCTACGTGCACTATTTCTATGCTTCCTATTCTTAAGTTTGGTTTTTGCGTCTTTTACTTTCGGTTTTGTACACCAGCTTCAAACAGCTGAAAATATATTATTTCTGGTTATGGAAAATATATTTCACGGAGGTTTGGATGGTACAATGATTCTCTACACTATACTTGCTTGTTTTGTCACATAAACTGAAATTAGGCAAACTATTCGAATTTTTGCAACCAGGTAATGGAGGAGCGATTTCTGCATATTTCACCTTTAATTAACCAATGGGGCCATCATCTGGTGGTTCAATAAAATACTGGTGGTTATATAATAGTTCTATCTGTAGCTGTGAATGTGGTCTAGCTGGCTGAAGATACCTCATTAATATTACAGAATGATAAAGAGAGAACACACCTGTGAAGATTCTGCTTGAGGCAGCATCACTGGCGACCGTAGTCCTACTTTTAGCCACTTGTTATCTAAAAGAGCACACTATTATGAAAACGAAAAAACGTTTCATTATAATGAAAACTAGATAAGTTGTCATTATAATAACCTGAATAGAAAGATTCATTGATTTTAAGCTTCAAACCAGAGAATATCAATGTAATCACTTTCCTCTTGTGGAAACAAGTGCTTGGATCTTGGATTGAGAATAAGATTTCATGTTGTCCGTACAATAGGCCTGAAGCTGTACATAAATATTGAATGATAGCAGGATCAGAACTAGGGCACTTGAAAAACAATAGCAGTCATCTAAAATGCTAACCATTTGAATGAGCTATTGGTCTTAAAATGGGTTCGGACATTTTACCAGGTCACTATGCCCATATGGAAAACATTCTTGTTGAAACTAGATAAATTATACTATGATAGCTAATAGCTGAAGGTTTATAATTATGATCAAAACATATCATACTGCAAATATATTCACCACTCTGATCATTTTGATTCGAAAACAGCTTCCAATAATAACATTTCTGGTGACGCTCATTCGTTATTAGAGGAATTAATTGAAAGACAGCTCACTGCATTTCCTCACAGTTATGTGTTCTGATTTCTCAGCCAGGCAAATTATGTCTACAAAGCCAATATTAAACTCTGCTCAGCCAGTGTGGTCTTTTTCCATGTCTCAAACCTTTCTCTTTTTTACCCTGCTTTCGTTTAGGGGCATAATTTGGCCGAATGATTAGATTGTGTTTAATTAGTGTATCCGGATCAGTCCGCTAGACCATCTGATGTGTGAAATCATGACTCTGAAGCTGTGATGTGACACTTTATTTGACTTAATCTAACCCAATTTTGTTGCCATTCCACAAGATAGATTGTAAGCTACCAAGGAAGACGTGGGAAGGGATGTGTGTAGTGAGATGAGTCTCCCTACATATTTTCCTTTGTCCTTTCTCTCCATCATTTTGAGTCCTCTCTCTATATGTCCCTACCTCTACTTCTCCTCTTTCCTTCTTTATTATTGTGTTCATTTTTCTTCCTCCTCCTCTCCATCTCTCCATCCTTCCTTTGCCTTTTCTCTTTCGCCCTTCCACGTCAAGTTCACTTCCAACCCCTTTTCCCAGACTCCCTGGGTCGCCGAGACGACACGCACCATAATTATAGCAGCCTCTCTTTGACTGGGTGCTTGTTGCCATGGATATGGGAGGTGGTTTCCGTGGAGATGGAAGATCTCAGGACTGCCAAGGAAAAAATGGGGTGTGACAGTCAGGAGGTTGGATGCCAGAAATAGAATTCTCTGACATACCTCCTCTCTGCTCTACCCCCCGCAACCCACGGACTGCAGCCTGTGTATTACCACGCTCCCTCTCCCTTTCTGAGGTGGCCTTCCCAAAACATCCATGGCATATTGTAGATGGCTGCTGAATGCTACTGCACATGGCCCACTGACCAGCCACCACCCTCCTCATTTCCTTTTCCAAAACAATGACTTCCTGTTGGGTTTGAAAGTTCACCATTTTAAAAAGTCTCGTCACACCAAAGGCTGTTATGGTATGAGGTGATTGTGCTCAGTATAATTGGTTGTTATGCTGGTATTCACTGGACACAGACATATCACTCACACTGGATACAGACATATCACTCACACTGGACACAGACATATCACTCACACTGGACACAGACATATCACTCACACTGGACACAGACATATCACTCACAATGGACACAGACATATCACTCACACTGGACAGACATATCACTCACACTGGACACAGACATATCACTCACACTGGACACAGACATATCACTCACACTGGACACAGACATATCACTCACACTGGACACAGACATATCACTCACACTAGACACAGACATATCACTCACACTGGACACAGACATATTACACATAGAGTGGTACACTGGAACATATAGAAAATGAATGGCTTCATAGTGGCATCGGTGCCTATTATAATTGGAGTGGAGAGGGGATCTATTTCCAACAAGACCATTTTTGGTTCTCTGCAGTTAGATATTTACCATCATACTTTGCCTTGAATTGAAATTATTTGTGCAATGTTTGTTTGGACAGATCTCTGTATGTTTCTGTATGATTATATGAGAAGAAAACAGCATGGATTATATTTAATGTGGATTATAAGTGTAGTTAAAGCTAGAGTAATCTTTCTGTAAGAGATGTAAACATAAACAGACAGAGGAATATGTTGGACATGGGTCTTGCATAACAATGTCCATTCATGAGAAACAGGACCATTAGAGTGATGTAATGAACAGAGACTAAGGCTCTGTTTTGGGAATGAGGCTGACTGTTGTTGCCATAGACAGACCTGTTGCAGTGTGTTGTGTAAGTTTTCCCTAATATTGTGTGTAGGGCTGTAGAAAACACTGCTGTTTGGGAAATACGTTGACCAGTGAGGCTTCAGTATAGTGCATTTGTATACTTATCTAAGGAGTATTGCGTCAGTGCATTAGTATCTTATGTGATCAACTCAAACAACATGATTTTGCAGTGTGAATTCGAATGTGATATTATTGAAATCTAATATCGCTTACGCTAGCGGCACATGATCTCAGAAGTTGACAATGGCCTGTCTGATTCCAATATGTTCAGCATTTTCCCCATATCCACCCCACTGTACTGTACTCCTTGCACAATGCATTCCCTATTTTGCTACCCCCTCCTACATTAAATGGGGGACTGTTTGGGGGGATTACGTAATCTTCATTCATTTATATTTAATGAGGTTTTTTTTGGCCCCAGTCCTCATGGAGCTGGAGGTGGGATGGTGGCAGGGGGGTAGAAGGGGGGGGATGTCATCAGAGATTGAATAATCATTGCCTGCCTTCCACGACAATTGCGAAGAGGGAGGGGTCTAGTACAGGACTGAACCTGTGATGTTAGTGCGAACGTTTGGACAGGGTGTTTGTGTGAAGAAGGTTGGCGTATTCAGTACACACAGGATGAGGTGTATATAACTAGGAACACTGGGATTTTTAAGGGTATACTGCATGTCAATGGAGCGTTATCACACACTCTTTTCGAGGCCAGTCGTTCAATACCTTCCTAACAGAGTAGCCCACAGCATGTGACAACAGCAGACAGAAGGAACACAGTGTCCACAACCAAGTCCACAAACAACAAACACAATAAACAAAAGAGCCAAATGCTCCAGGCAGGGCCATGAGCCAGAAGATGCACACCCAGGGGCAGGGTAGAGGAGAGGGGCAGTGGGTACAGTAGTGGGCATGGAACAAAGTGATATGGGTAAGAATTGGAGATGACAGAACAGCATGGAAAAGCACATTTATACCACCATAACCTGGGAGAGATGTGTAGCACTAATGGATGCTGTTACAGAGAGGACAGATTCATTCAAGTAGAATGGCAGTGGAAACTGAAGCACTGTATCCCCCAAAGCTATCCCCCATCCTCTCTCTCTCTCTCTCTCTCTCTCTCTCTCTCTCTCTCTCTCTCTCTCTCTCTCTCTCTCTCTCTCTCTCTCTCTCTCTCTCTCTCTCTCTCTCTCTCTCCTGTGTTTCTAATGTAATGCCAAGCTGCCTGTCAATGAGGAGTCAGAGCTGCGGTTTATAGGACACCATGAAAGGGTGTGTGTATTAGTTTGTGTGTGTGTCAGTGACGTTCATTTGTATGTTTGTGTGTGTGTGTGTGTGTGTGTTTGTGACTGAGTTTACTGCTGGAAGTCGAGAATCTGCTCTAGCGAATGGGGATATGTTCCGTGGAGTCATGTGACCATAGCTCTGTTAGGGCTGTGATGTCAGAGAGGGGGAGAAATGGAGAGAGAGAGAGAAAGAGAGGGAGCAGCATTCAGTTCAGCCTCAGAGCCTCATCTGATCAGTTCAGAGCACAGACACAGAGAAACACACAATTACTACACCCGCACACTCATAGGCTGCGCTTCACAGAAACACCATATACCACAGATAGAGTACATTACCAGCCTTCCTTACCGCCAAGGAAAGATTAGTTTATTTTGCTTTCTAGAAGAATACAGAAGATCCATCAAAAGGAAGCAGGAGAGAGAAGAGAGGGAGAGGTGAGGATGTCTTCTCTCTCCAATCAGCAGCAGCAGAGTGATGGTGGACAGCGCTGTGAGTACACTGAGCTGGGCAAGGTGCCCTCTGTCTCTATGGCGTCTCCTCAGCAGGACCAGATGGGACCACAGGGTTTCGGGGGCAGCCCAGGGGCACCCAGGCTAACCGACGAGGACAAGCTGTCAAGCCTGTTTGATGGACCTTCATCTGGATCAGGGTTCAAGGTGGAGTCGTCTGACCTCAAGGTGCCAGGGAGGATGGGTGTTAGACTCGGGGCATCTTTGGGTCTGGGCAGTGCTTGGGAGAGCCCCACAAGTCCCCTCTCCTCCTCGCCCTCTCCAGCCTCCCCCGGGAAACTCTTCTCCACCCCGGGACAAGAACACAGGGCCAATGGAGCAGCAGCCCCGCGAGGGTCCGCTGCTGTGCAGCATGACGCCTCACCGTTCCCCAACACACAGAAGGTGGACAACTGCGTATGGAATCCCTCCTTCTCTGGGTCACACCAAACAGACCTGAAGCCTGCTGTTCAGACTGCTGCGCCTGCACCTGCAGACAACTACTGTGTTGTTGGTGTTGTCGACGACAACTACTCTAAGGGTGGAAACTGCACTGTGTCAGGATTCTCTGAAGACAGTGACGAGGACATGGGGCCTACTTTACCTCGAGGAGGAGGTACCGAGCAGCAACACAAAGCCGTGAGACGCGCCATGTCTGACTGTTCCCACCTGTCTGTGCCAGGTAGCTTTGACTTATCCCAGTACCCAGGGCAGCCTGGCGGACTGGTGGACATGCCCTCACCTGGAAGTAACGTTATGGGGTCCAAGTCTCCACACTCGGCTGTGCAACGCTCTCTGACAGTGGGGGAGGAGAGAAAGACTGTGTCGCCCACACTATCTCCTCTGTCCCCACTGAGCCCTGTCAGGGCCCCCAACTCCCCTCCACCCAGGAGGGGTACTGGTAATGGGATGTCACAGAGCCAGAGTGAGAGTGTCCTACTGCCGGTTCCCTTCAGTGGAAAAACCTTCCACAGCATCAATACCAAAAGCTCCATTGAGGGTAGGTGACTGAAATGATTTGAGGCCTATTCCTCTCCTTACCGCGTTAGACCTGGTTCCCCTATCTCTCATTGCCTTTGTATATACTGGTCTACACTGATTTAAGTACATAGATTTGGGAGTTCAGGTTTATTTGTGATGCCTGACCATATAGGTCAGTGGGCAGTGGTATTTGTCTGGGATGTAATAGCTGTTTGTTTTATCGATGGACTGCTGAAAGAGAAAATGGAAGGAGCCAACATACGAATGGATGTATAAAAAATTAAAACAGCTAGAAATTGTGGTATTTGGTATATTTATACTTGGATGATTTGCTTCTAAAAAAAATTAAGAGAGCAGAAGGGTTTAAAATTCATCACCATTTTGTTTTGACTAAATGTCAAAGGCACCAGAATACCATCATTGAGGAGGTCTGGGGTGTTATACAGAATAATTAGTATGCAAGTCAAGTTCCTCTGAATATGAATGTCTATTGAAATGCTGAGGTTAATTTACCCTCTCAAACTCCCATCTCTTCATATGACTGTGTTGTTCGGTGATACATCACATGAAGTGGCACTCCAACGAGTGGCTAGCACTAAGGGAAGGGTGTGTGATGGATTTGAAATTGAGTCTGGTTATTCATTTAAACAGAAAGTAGTCATTTCTGGTGGCACCATGTGGGGACTGGGGACTCCTGGGAATGCTTTCAGATTGCATGACTACTCTTATGTTATTCATATATACACATAGATTCAATAACAGCAGGCAGTCTGGAGCTTGAGGCCATTTTGCTTGCATTATACACTGAGTGTACAAAACATTAGGAACATCTGCTCTTTCCATGACATAGACTGGCTGTCCAGGTGAATCCAGGTGAAAGCTATGATTCCTTATTGATATCACTTGTTAAATCCACTTCAATCAGTGTAGAGGAAGGGGAGGAGACAGGTTAAATAAGGATTTTTAAGCTTTGAGATAATTGAGACATGGATTGTATGTGTGTATTGTATGTGTGTACAGTCGTGGTCAAAAGTTTTGAGAATGACACAAGTATTGGTCTTCACAAAGTTCGCTGCTTCAGTGTTATGAGATATTTCTGTCAGATGTTACTATGGTATACTGAAGTATAATTACAAGCATTCCATAAGTGTCAAAGGCTTTTATTGACAATTACATTAAGTTTATGCAAAGAGTCAATATTTGCAGTGTTGACCCTTCTTTTTCAAGACCTCTGCAATCCTCCCTGGCATGCTGTCAATTAACTTCTGGGCCACATCCTGACTGATGGCAGCCCATTCTTGCATAATCAATGCTTGGAGTTTGTCAGAATTTGTGGGTTTTTGTTTGTCCACCCGCCTCTTGAGGATCGACCACAAGTTCTCAATGGGATTAAGGTTTGGGGGGTTTCCTGGCCATGGACCCAAAATGTCTATGTTTTGTTCTCCGAGCCACTTAGTTATCACTTTTGCCTTATGGCAAGGTGCTCCATCATTCTGGAAAAGGCATTGGTCGTCACCAAACTGTTCTTGGATGGTTGGGAGAAGTTGCTCTCAGAGGATGTGTTGGTACCATTCTTTATTCATGGCTGTGTTCTTAGGCAAAATTGTGAGTGAGCCCACTCCCCTGGCTGAGAAGCAACCCCACACATGAATGGTCTCAGGATGCTTTACTGTTGGCATGATACAGGAATGATGGTAGCGCTCACCTTTTCTTTTCTTGACAAGGTGTTTTCCGGATGCCCCAAACAATCGGAAAGGGGATTCATCAGAGAAAATTACTTTACCCCAGTCCTCAGCAGTCCAATCCCTGTACCTTTTGCAGAATATCCGTCTGTCCCTGATGTTTTTCCTGGAGAGAAGTGGCTTCTTTGCTGCCCTTCTTGACACCAGGCCATCCTCCAAAAGTCTTCGCCTCACTGTGCGTGCAGATGCACTCACACCTGCCTGCTGCCATTCGTGAGCAAGCTCTGCACTGGTGTTGCCCCGATCCTGCAGCTGAATCAACTTTAGGAGACGGTCCTGGCGCTTGCTGGACTTTCTTGGGCACCCTGAAGCCTTCTTCACAACAATTGAACCTCTCTCCTTGAAGTTCTTGATGATCCGATAAATGGTTGATTTAGGTGCAATCTTACTAGCAGCAATATCCTTGCCTGTGAAGGCCTTTTTGTGCAAAGCAATGATGACGGCACGTGTTTCCTTGCAGGTAACCATGGTTAACAGAGGAAGAACAATGATTTCAAGAACCACCCTCATTTTAAAGCTTCCAGTCTGTTATTCTAACTGAATCAGCATGACAGAGTGATCTCCAGCCTTGTCCTCGTCAACACTCTCACCTGTGTTAACGAGAGAATCACTGACATGATGGCAGCTGGTCCTTTTGTGGCAGGGCTGAAATGCAGTGGAAATGTTTTTTGGGGATTAAGTTCATTTTCATGGCAAAGAGGAACTTTGCAATTAATTGCAATTCATCTGATCACTCTTCATGACATTCTGGAGTATATGCAAATTGCCATCATCAAAACTGAGGCAGCAAACTTTGTGAAAATTTGTATTTGTGTCATTCTCAATACTGTATGTGTGCCATTCAGAGGGTGAATGGGCAAGACAAGTGCCTTTGTACGGGGTAGGGTAGTAGGTGCCAGGCGCACCGGTTTGAGTGTGTCAAGAACTGCAACGCTGCTAGGTTTTTCACGCTCAACAGTTTTCAGTGTGTATCAAGAATGGTCTACTACCCAAAGGACATCCAGCCAACTTGACACAACTGTGGGAAGCATTGGAGTCAACATGGGCCAGCATTCATGTGGAACCCTTTCGACACCTTGTAGAGTCCATGCCCTGACAAATTGAGGCTGTTCTGAGGGCAAAAGGGTGTGCAACTCAATATTAGGAAGGTGTTCTTAATGTTTTGTACACACAGTATTAGAGCTCTCTTTCACCTACAGCTAGCCTATCGCTAAATATCTCACAAAGACACCATCATGAAAAGGATACATCTGCATCCTTCAATTAGCAACAGTAGGGATCAAGCAGAAATAGCTGGCAGCATCTTCCTGCTGTAACAAGGGTCATTTCTACCTCATGGATGAAAATAATCCCTCTGCTTACGTGCCTGTGTGTTTCTATATAATGCAAGGTCATTTCAAATACATACTGTACAATAAGCACACATTTACTGATTCTAGTGAATTAGCTATATGCATCATCACTTCATATACAGTAGTGTGTGTGCGTGTGTTTGTGTGTGTATGGGTGGGTGGGTGCATGCATGTGTATGCGTGTATATGTACAGTTGACGTCAGAGGTTTACATACACTTAGGTTGGAGTCATTAAAACTTGTTTTTCAACCACTCCACAAATGTCTTGTTAACAAACTATAGTTTTGGCAAGTCGGTTAGGACATCTACTTTGTGCATGACACAAGTAATATTTCCAACAATTGTTTACAGACAGATTATTTCACTGATAATTCACTGTATCACAATTCCAGTGGGTCAGAAGTTTACATACACTAAGTTGACTGTGCCTTTAAACAGCTTGGAAAGTTCCAGAAAATGATGTAATGGCTTTAGAAGCTTCTGATATGCTAATTGACATAATTTGAGTCAGTTGGAGGTGTACCTGTGGATGTATTTCAAGGCCTAGGTGGCATCATGAGGAAGGAAAATGATGTGGCAACATCTCAAGACATCAGTCAGGAAGTTAAAGCTTGGTCGCAAATGGGTCTTCCAAATGGACAATGACCCCAAGCATACTTCCAAAGTTGTGGCAAAATGGCTTAAGGACAACAAAGTAAAGGTATTGGAGTGGCCATCTCAAAGCCCTGACCTCAATCCTATAGAAAATTAGTGGGCAGAACTGAAAAAGCGTGTGCGAGCAAGGAGGCCTACAAACCTGACTCAGTTACTCCAGCTCTGTCAGGAGGAATGTGCCAGAATTCACCCAACTTTATTGTGGGAAGCTTGTGGAAGGCTACCTGAAACGTTTGAACCAGTTTAAACAATTTAAAGGTAATGCTACCAAAAACTAATTGAGTGTATGTAAACTGATGAAAGAAATAAAAGCTAAAATAATTCATTCTCTCTGCTATTATTCTGACATTTCACATTCTTAAAAGAAAGGGATGATCCTAACTGACCTAAAACAGGGAATTTTTACCAGGATTAAATGTCAGGAATTGTGACAAACTGAGTTTAAATGTATTTTGCTAAGGTGTATGTAAACTTCCGACTTCAACTGTATGTGTGTGTCTGGTGTGTGATGCTGGTCGCCTGCGTGTTAGTCATGTTCTATGTGACAATGTGTTTACACCACTGGCCAGGCATACAGAACAGCTCTATACTAGAGTCTATAGTGTATGTTTACACCACTGGCCAGGCATACAGAACAGCTCTATACTAGAGTCTATAGTGTATGTTTACACCACTGGCCAGGCATACAGAACAGCTCTATACTAGAGTCTATAGTGTATGTTTACACCACTGGCCAGGCATACAGAACAGCTCTATACTAGAGTCTATAGTGTATGTTTACACCACTGGCCAGGCATACAGAACAGCTCTATACTAGAGTCTATAGTGTATGTTTACACCACTGGCCAGGCATACAGAACAGCTCTATACTAGAATCTATAGTGTATGTTTACACCACTGGCCAGGCATACAGAACTGCTCTATATTAGAGTCTATAGTGTATGTTTACACCACTGGCAAGGCATACAGAACAGCTCTATACTAGAGTCTATAGTGTATGTTTACACCACTGGCCAGGCATACAGAACTGCTCTATATTAGAGTCTATAGTGTATGTTTACACCACTGGCAAGGTATACAGAACAGCTCTATACTAGAGTCTATAGTGTATGTTTACACTACTGGCCAGGCATACAGAACAGCTCTATACTAGAGTCTATAGCAGAGGTCGGCAACAGGCGGTGATTTATTTTGCCCCCACGAAGTTTGTATTAAGAAATACAGTGGTGATAAAAAGTATTTAGTCAGCCACCAATTGTGCAAGTTCTCCCACTTAAAAAGATGAGAGAGGCCTGTAATTTTCATCATAGGTACACGTCAACTATGACAGACAAATTGAGGGGAAAAAATCCAGAAAATCACATTGTAGGATTTTTTATGAATTTATTTGCAAATTATGGTGGAAAATAAGTATTTGGTCACCTACAAACAAGCAAGATTTCTGGCTCTCACAGACCTGTAACTTCTTCTTTAAGAGGCTCCTCTGTCCTCCACTCGTTACCTGTATTAATGGCACCTGTTTGAACTTGTTATCAGAACTAGTTTTTTATAAAAGACACCTGTCCACAACCTCAAACAGTCACACTCCAAACTCCACTATGGCCAAGACCAAAGAGCTGTCAAAGGACACCAGAAACAAAAGTGTAGACCTGCACCAGGCTGGGAAGACTGAATCTGCAATAGATAAACAGCTTGGTTTGAAGAAATCAACTGTGGGAGCAATTATTAGGAAATGGAAGACATACAAGACCATGATAATCTCCCTCGATCTGGGGCTCCACGCAAGATCTCACCCTGTGGGGTCAAAATGATCACAAGAACGGTGAGCAAAAATCCCAGAACCACACGGGGGGACCTAGTGAATGACCTGCAGAGAGCTGGGACCAAAGTAACAAAGCCTACCATCAGTAACACACTACGCCGCCAGGGACTCAAATCCTGCAGTGCCAGATGTGTCCCCCTGCTTAAGCCAGTACATGTCCAGGCCCGTCTGAAGTTTGCTAGAGTGCATTTGGATGATCCAGAAGAGGATTGGGAGAATGTCATATGGTCAGATGAAACCAAAATATAACTTTTTGGTAAAAACTCAACTCGTCGTGTTTGGAGGACAAAGAATGCTGAGTTGCATCCAAAGAACACCATACCTACTGTGAAGCATGGGGGTGGAAACATCATGCTTTGGGGCTGTTTTTCTGCAAAGGGACCAGGACGACTGATCCGTGTAAAGGAAAGAATGAATGGGGCCATGTATCGTGAGATTTTGAGTGAAAACCTCCTTCCATCAGCAAGGGCATTGAAGATGAAACGTGGCTGGGTCTTTCAGCATGATAATGATCCCAAACACACCGCCCGGGCAACGAAGGAGTGGCTTCGTAAGAAGCATTTCAAGGTCCTGGAGTGGCCTAGCCAGTCTCCAGATCTCAACCCCATAGAAAATCTTTGGAGGGAGTTGAAAGTCTGTGTTGCCCAGCGACAGCCCCAAAACATCACTGCTCTAGAGGAGATCTGCATGGAGGAATGGCCAAAAATACCAGCAACAGTGTGTGAAAACCTTGTGAAGACTTACAGAAAACGTTTGACCTGTGTCATTGCCAACAAAGGGTATATAACAAAGTATTGAGAAACTTTTGTTATTGACCAAATACTTATTTTCCACCATAATTTGCAAATAAATTCATTAAAGATCCTACAATGTGATTTTCTGGATTTTTTTTATCATTTTGTCTGTCATAGTTGACGTGTACCTATGATGAAAATTACAGGCCTCTCTCATCTTTTTAAGTGGGAGAACTTGCACAATTGGTGGCTGACTAAATACTTTTTTCCCCCACTGTATATACACTGGATATACAAAAGTATGTGGACATCCACATAACATTTGTGGATTCGGCTATTTCAGCCACACCCGTTGCTGACAGGTGTATAAAATCGAGCACACAGCCATGCAATCTCCATAGACAAACATTGTCAGTAGAATGGCCTTACTGAAGAGCTCAGTGACTTTCAACGTGGCACCGTCATAGGATGCCACTTTTCCAATAAGTCAGTTCGTCAAATTTCTGCCCTGCTAGAGAGGCCCCGGTCAACTGTAAGTGCTGTTATTGTGAAGTGGAAACGTCTAGGAGCAACAACGGCTCAGCCGCAAAGTGCTAGGCAAAAAAAAAAGTTAAATCACCAGGAATTCTGCTAAAAATTCAGGAAATCTGTTCCAAAAGTATTCCCACAAATAAAAAAAGAGACGTATGTAACCAAGGTATGAAATTACTGTTATTTTTAAATACAATCTCTTTTTGGGCTTAGTTGTAGTCAATTTGCAGTGTACAAATTATTATAATTATGTTCCGGCCCCCTGACCATCTGCTCTGATGAAAATTGGCCCGTGGCTGAATCTAGTTGCCTACCCCTAGTCGATAGTGTATAACAGTTACTGGAACCAGGGCTCCTAAAGCCAGCCATTGGTACAACAAGGCCAGTCCTGTATACTGTACTCAATCATTTGATAGATTTGTCGACTGGCTAATGGTTTTGTACCATTGTGACAAATCCATGATCTTGTCTGACACATTGAACTGGTATCTATCTACCATAAATGTACAATCCATTTGCCCTCACTCTCTTTTTAAATATTGATGCTCTAGTCCACTAATTGGTCTGAATTTTCTTTGAAAAGCGGATTCAGTCATTACGTCAGTGGGTCTTCTTTTGACCCAGCTTAATCTGTCCCACATTTCCTAACCAAATGGTACCATGGGATACAGCCCGAGAGAGGAAAACCAATGTGCCTTGGTCAAAAGTAGTGCATTACATAAGGAATAGGGTGCCATTACAGATGTACCCTCTCTCTCTCTGTAGAGGTTACTGGGGCTGGGTTACATAAGGAGCCGATGCCAACAATGTGCTGTTCTGTCTTCCCTGCTCGGCCCTGGGTTCGGCCCTGACTTTCTGTGGCCCTGCCCAGACTCCACACCACCATGCCATGACTGGTCACTGTAGTCAACTCACTCTTATTTCCTCACCAACGAGATGCTCTGGGGTGTAGTACAAAATATGATCACTGATAGATTATAATCATATGAGTATAATATGACAGCAGTATTCGGACGGTTGTATTTTGTGACGATCAATCAGAGGATTTTAGAGGATTGACATTTAGTTGCCTATTTGAACAGCCGTAACATGTACAAAGTCCTGTTGTCCATATACAGTGGTGGCATTCTTAGGTGGTATTCTTAGGATGCATTGTTGTAGCTCGATTTTCTAGCTAAAGCCAGTCTGAATCTGTGGTTCGGTTAATAACACGCTATAAGATATGCTAGCTCTCATGGCTGAAAGCGACTCTGGCACTATGAAAGGTTTCTCCACCTGTATTTTATCCTTAGAGTAATTCTGGTATTTTTTCATGACATACAGTATTGCGTGTTTGCTAAATGTATGTCTTTTTTTGTCTCTCTACAGTTAAAGCAGAAAATAAGGACAAACAAGAGAAGGCAGATTTCTTCCCGAAGACGGATAACTTGAACATGTTTGAGAAGACAGAGAAAGAAGATCAATCTAAGAAAGTCGACAATGCTGATAAGACCTCCAAATCTGAGAAGATCCTCAAAGATGAAGAAAAGTTCCATATGACGGAGAAAAGTGATACAAATGAAAAAGTGGACAAGCCAGAGAAGACAAACAAAGATGAGAAGATGGAGAAGAAAGAAAATGGGGAGAAAACTGACAAGATGGTCAAAGCTGAAAATAACGAAAAGGCTGGGAAAGCTACTGCAAAGTCCCCAACAACCAACGGAAGCAAGCAGGACCTCACCAGCCCAGACAGTAAGGCCAAGGTAGGTCAAGGAAAGGCCGGGGCAATGTTGCCATTCATTTCATTTCAGCAAGCTGCTTCTCCAACTGTCACTGCCATCTCTAGTGTGTGCGTGTGTGTATGTGCGTGGGTGTCTCTGTGTGTTTGTATGCACACGCTTATGTGCAATTTGAGGTTATCGTCGGTGCCAATTTGCTCTGCTGATGCTCCTTGTTTGATTATGATTTGTTATTAGTGAATGCTGCCTCTGCTGCTTTACCATCCTGCCTGTCCTCTGTTGTATGCTTTTGGTTTTCTTCTTTTCTCCTTTATCGTGTGACGTTGTTGTACAGCCTGCTGTTGGGTCAACCAAACCAAACTCTGCCAAAACACGGCCCACCTCTTTGTCCACTGGGGACGCAGCTGGCCCCCCAAAACGTTCCTCCCCCACCTCAAGCTCTGCCAATAAAAAAAAAACTGTTACCAAGGCAACCACTCCCACTGCTTGCACCAAGCAGCCAACGGCCGCTGCCAGTCAAACCCCTACAGCCACCAAGTCCAAGGTGAGTTCCCTCCCACTTCCCTCTGGTGTCTTCTCACTGGCCTCCCCTTTTGTGGTTGGCACCTTGTCCCCCTTCCGTTTGTTTGGCTCTGCCATATAACTGTACAGTGCCCACCTACTGACTCTCACTCACAGTTTGTGGACCACCAACTCCCTGCACTATGACCTCTGTTCAGTCTCTTCACCATTTAGGATAGTCCTACAAACGGAATCTTGTCTATCACTTCCCTGAAAACCCCAGCATACTGTACATTTCCAATATCTCCTTTCTGTTTCCAATCTTTACTCTTCTCATTTCTTAATCACTTTCCTTTTTGTCAAGAGCTCTCTTCCACACCACACCCTTCTCTGATTTTCTGTTTGCTTACTCAGACTCCGGAAAATGGTCCTCCTGTGCCAAAGGCCAATGGCACGGCCAATAAGAACGGTTCCTCTACAACTGCCACTACTAAACCTGCTGGTCCACACCCCTCTGCTAGTGCCCCCTCTATGCGCCGCAACACAGGTGAGCACTAACTCTTAACTGTACCGTGCAAGCGTACATTCTTTAAGGTACTTTATTCTTGATGATGGTGGTATTCAAAAAGCCAAAGTCAGAATTCATTGGTCATCCCCAAATGAATACACTGTTCACAAGTCTGAATCATGTAAGGTGAGCTTGGTTATGTCCTCTACCCTACAGTTCCCAAGACTGATATCAAGCCAGGTGATGTGAAGAAGCCTAGTACGCTGAAGACAACACCAAGTAACAACAACCAACCTACACAATCTAACCCAAGTATCTCAGTACACAACTAAAATACCTTGGAGTTTAATGTATTCTTTGAAATTGTAAGGACAGACATCCTGTTTTAATCTCTCCTGACAGTGTCATTATGACTACACAGAGAGAGACAAACGCAGTGGGTATGTGAGGCTAAGAGACAGACAGGGATGCAGAGGGAAACTGAAACTTATCATTTTTTTCAGTAATTGGTCTTTTGACAAATCACATCACATCTTTTTCAGAGCTGACCTGATTGGCCAAAAGAGCAATTAGTGTAAAAAAGATCAGAATTGGGCTGCCTGTGTCTCAACAGTAATTCCAGTTCCTGAAAACACTGACTGAAGCCTCAGGCCTGTCATGTCCTCCTCAGATCTTCATTAGTCATCGAATCAGAGACTGCTGACACAGCCTTGTAAAAACCCACTACCAGAGACCACAGTATCTACTGTATGTAGGTAGTAGTAGTGTGGTTCCTCATACTCTTCCCTGTCGACTTGTTAGCTTCCAGCCCATTGTTTCCTAGTAAATCATTGTTGGTGTTGTGTGCGATCAGCTCAGCTCCAGCCATTAGAGGGTTACTGTTCTATGGTTCCTCATGTCCTTTCTCTCTCTCTGCCCCAGCCAAGCCCAGGGTACCTCGCACCTCCGCCACTGCTCCGAGCACTCCTGCCACCAATGGGGAGCAGCCTCGCCGACGCATCACCAAACCCCCAGTGCCCAAGCAGACCGCTATGGAGAGGAAGCCACCTGTACCCAGAGCACCTAGGACTCCCAGGCCCATCAACGCACCCCTGCCGGACCTGAAGAATGTGCGCTCCAAGATCGGCTCCACAGACAACATGAAGTACCAGCCTACCGGCGGCAAGGTGTGGTAACTAGGGATAGAGATGTACTGTACGTGGAAGCTTGTGGAGATGGGTCTATTTTAGAGGACCGACATGAGACAGACATTTTTGTATTACCGTTTTTTTTTATTGCTAACAAGCATTGTGCAAAACTCTAAATACAGTTATCAAAACAACATGCAACTTGGCAATGCACATCCTACTTGTCTCAAAAGCAAATATTTCTACCAAATGAAAGCTAACAGTCTCTCACGACACACACACTTTGTCATTCATAGTATCATGACCTACAAAACTCTAAAAACTGCTCCCACTTGAAAATGTGTCAATTTGTCTTTAATATTATGTTTTTTAAGATGAACCAACAGTCAATTTTACAAAAGAAGAGTGGCAAACCTGTACTGTATAGAATGTCCTGCAAGATATGTAAAGAAATAAAGCAGAAAGGCTGCAATATGCTTCAATACAATTTACTGCAGAGTATTCCAAAATACACAAAAATAAATAATTCCAGTACTGTTAAACAAACAAAAAGTGTATACACACTATGAATATGCATAGCATATTGTCCAAATGAAACAGATATATACAGTGAGGGAAAAAAGTATTTGATCCCCTGCTGATTTTGTACGTTTGCCCACTGACAAAGAAATGATCAGTCTATAATTTTAATGGTAGGTTTATTTGAACAGTGAGAGACAGAATAACAACAAAAAAACACGCATGTCAAAAATGTTATAAATTGATTTGCATTTTAATTAGGGAAATAAGTATTTGACCCCTCTGCAAAACATGACTTAGTACTTGGTGGCAAAACCCTTGTTGGCAATCACAGAGGTTAGACGTTTCTTGTAGTTGGCCACCAGGTTTGCACACATCTCAGAAGGGATTTTGTCCCACTCCTCTTTGCAGATCTTCTCCAAGTCATTAAGGTTTCGAGGCTGACGTTTGGATACTCGAACCTTCAGCTCCCTCCACAGATTTTCTATGGGATTAAGGTCTGGAGACTGGCTAGGCCACTCCAGGACCTTAATGTGCCTCTTCTTGAGCCACTCCTTTGTTGCCTTGACCGTGTGTTTTGGTTCATTGTTTCCTTGACAAGATCCTCCCGTGTAGTTCTGGGCTGATTCCTCACCATTCTCATGATCATTGCAACTCCACGAGGTGAGATTTTGCATGGAGCCCCAGGCCGAGGGAGATTGACAGTTCATTTGTGTTTCTTCCATTTGCGAATAATAGCACCAACTGTTGTTACCTTCTCACCAAGCTGCATGGCGATGGTCTTGTAGTCCATTCCAGCCTTGTGTAGGTCTACAATCTTGTCCCTTACATCCTTGGAGAGCTCTTTGGTCTTGGCCATGGTGGAGAGTTTGGAATCTGATTGATTGATTGCTTCTGTGGACAGGTCTCTTTTATACAGGTAACAAGCTGAGATTAGGAGCACTCCCTTTAAGAGTGTGCTCCTAATCTCAGCTCGTTACCTGTATAAAAGACACCTGGGAGCCAGAAATCTTTCTGATTGAGAGGGGGTCAAATACTTATTTCCCTCATTAAAATGCAAATCAATTTATAACATTTTTGAAAATGCATTTTTCTGGATTTCTTTGTTGTTATTCTGTCTCTCACTGTTCAAATAAATCGACCATTAAAATTATAGACTGATCATTTCTTTGTCAGTGGTCAAACGTACAAAATCAGCAGGGGATCAAATACTTTTTTCCCTCACTGTAACAATGCTAGTCAACCCTGTCTGATGCATTGGGCCACAAGTTCTCATCCACATCACACCGTATGGCCTCTCGCGCAATACACCTGGGAAAGAATCTCTTTGCATGCCTGATCCATCCCTGGCAATCTTCTGCAGAGATATCCAGGCATCCTGCATTCATTGCATCCAAGAGTGACATTTGATCATGTGGATGGTGGTCATAAACTTTCCACCTCCATGAGGAAAATAATTATTCTATGGGGTTGAGGAAGGGAGAGTAAGGGGGGAGGAAAAGTAACACCATCCCGGGATGGGCTGCAAACCACTCTGTGACTGCATGGGAGTGGTGAAATGCCACATTGTCCCATACAATCACCCAGGTTTCCATAGAGGTCATCCATGAATGAAATGAGGCGCTCTGTGTTGTATGGCCCAATTAGTGGTTTATGTAACAGCAATCCTTCAGAGGATATTGCAGCCCACATTGTGATGTTGGCACCCCTCTGGCCCGGGACATTCACTGTTGCGCTTTTCCCAATTACATTCCTTCCACGTCGGCGTGTTTTGGCCATGTTAAAACCAGCCTCATCCACAAGACGAACATGTGGGGAGTTGGTCTGGCTTCAAGCTCCATGACACTCTAAAATATTGTAAATCCACAGGGCAACATAACAGTTATTCTATAACAGTAGTTTACATTACAGTATGCTGTAACTGAAATCACTGCTGAGTGTGCAGTGCTCTGGAGGGTTTTGTTTACAGTAAAAACAGTACTGTATTACAGCATATAGACATCTTACCTGGACATATTTGTACCGGAGTTCCTTGACACGATCTGAGTTCCTCTCAAAGGGAACAGTGTACACCTGCTTCATGCTGATATGATGCTTTGTCAAGACTCTAGCAATGGTTGTTGTGCTTACACTTTCAACATTTTGAAATGTATTATTGTCTGCCAACACTCTCTCTTGAATTTCTCTGAGTTTTATGGCATTGTTGCTAATGACCATGTCAACAATTACAGCTTCCTGCTGAGCAGAGAAAATCCTACCCCCCCCCCCCCCCCCTCCATTTGGTAACCATTGGGTCCTAAAACAGAAATAAAATTACACACAAGTGGTTCGGAGAGCTTTTGCTCAATTTACTACTCTACAGTGATATTCAGTATAGTTAGATGCCCATGCAGAATGCATATCTTACCTGTTAGTTTGCTGGAAGGTTCTTATAATAGATGACACAGTTGAGCGTTGCAAATTTGGCTGCACTCTGAGACCAGCATCTCTCATTGATAGAGCATGATTGACAACATGATCAATGATTGTAGCCCTAATCTCATCTGACACTACAACTCTGAGTCTTCCCCTCAGTCTTCTTCCACCACGGATACGTAATCCTCTGCCTCTCCCGGCAACTCTTCCACCTCTGTAAGCCACTACACGATCACTGGCCGGGTCCATGTTTATGTAAAATATATTCCAAAGATGTCCCCTTTTGTGGAGATGGTAATGACATAAAAATGTATGTCATGGGTATGTCTTCAGTTACGTAATGTAGAATGAAAATCAGATGTGAATAATTAAGAGTTATTATTATTATTTTATTTTAGAATTTCTATTTTGCTTTTACTGTAGGAATGTAAAAAATTGCGGTCTAATTCAATTTTCAGTAGCTTTTGAACTTGAGTTTAACAGTTTTGATAAGGGTATCTTAACATTTGCAAAATGGTCTGTAGATACGTAGAGTTTTGTTGGTAAATGTGTTTTTGTGAGACAAGTATTTATGTAATTTGAAAGATGTTGTCATTGAATGCATTTTGTGTCTAAGCAATGACAAATTATCCACAGGTTGCCACATAGAGTGTTGTTGTGATAACTGTATTTAGAGTTTTGCACATGTATCCGCAGTATTGAACAATGCTTGTTAGCAATCGAAAAAAAACTGTAACAGATTTAACATGCTTTCAATGCTGCCAACTAATGCCATTCATAGCAGGGGTTTTGTCACAAGCAAATTCTCATTCAACATCATACAAATTCCATATTATTAAAACCTCCTACCTTCTCCACTGCTACCATATAACAAGATCATATACCATCTCGTTAGTCATTACCAGCTTTATTGGCCTCCTCAACTGAATAGTGGCACAATGCATTCTACCCCTGGAGAAAATATGTTAAGCAAACTATCTGTCTGTCTAATTCTATCATTATTTTTCTTTCTGTAGTTCTCTTTCTGTTCTCTCCCCTTTGTCTCTCTCTTTTCCTCTCTGTTACTTTTTATTTTCTCTCTTATCTCTCTCTCTTTTCTCTCTCTCATCTCTCTACGTTACAACTGACAGCTGCCTTCACTCATTTGACTGACTTGATAGAAGATGCTGTCACCTGTATTCATAAGATCACTCTGAAAAGAGAAATGCTTTCATACAAATGATCATCTTGGAAAATAGCCATCATGTCCAGTCTTTACCTATGCCATTGGTTGTGACAGTATCCATCCACAAAAAGGTTGCCTATTACAATGATGTAAGCAAAAGGGAGACTCCATAGAAAAACAATCTAAAAAATATAGTTTCAGTACCACCCCTGCACACACTTCCACAGACCTGAAGAGTTGAATTGGCTCCCTGAGCCAATGTCTAGGCTTTGGCAAAGCGAGCCAAAGCACTCTTCTGGCATGCAGGAGACCTGGGTTCGAAACCAATCAGTGACACAGACAGGTGGTGTAGCTGAAAAGCAGAGCTCTTCCCTCCATCCATACACCCACCACCACACTCTCCTGAGCCCTGACTGGTGGTACTGACCCAGGGCCCAGGGCAGCCCTGTCTCCTGGTATTGACCCAGGGGTGGTTGTCTCCCCTCAGGTCTCCTCGGCGGGGGCTTCCCAATCCAAAGACGGCCCGGGCAAAGTGAGTCCCTATCATCACACACCCCTCTTTCATTCTCACCCGTGTGCCCAACCACTCTCTCTCCTCTGATATCACACTGAAGGAAATGACATAAGTGGATATTTTTGTCCACTGACTATTTGAACCTATCTGCACACACACAAACACATAAATACAGGCACGTCACTCTCTAACACACTCTCGTGCACATCCTCACCTTTTCTTCCTCTTCATGATAACCTGTTGCTTTCCGGTATAAAATGTGGAATGGTTGTGGACAGTGTATGACAAGTATCTGTCCCCCCTGAAATGCACAGCTTAACTGACAAACAGACAGAAAAACAGACAGACAGGACCTTGCCATCATCCACCTGACCTCTACAACCATGGCACTACCCATCCCAATTGTTTGGCACAGAAACGAAATAACACAACACCAAAGTGACCGTTGTCCTTCGCTGGTACTCCCATGCACCTGGTACATTTAGAAGGGCCCTGAGCTTGAGTATTTGAGAGGCCCTGGATGGCTTTTGGGTTCGTAGTGTAACCAATACCACTGCTAATGTTTATCTCGGTTTACTTCTACATAATTTAGCCTAAACCTTTTTACAGTCCTATTAGTCTTGTAAGGATTTGAATCTGTGATGTAGTGGTAAAAAAATTGGTGGGTAAACTGATCGCCGGTCGCTGTGAAAAAAGTTTCAATGCATGTAAGTAAACTGTTTAAGATAAGCAATACAGAAACAAGCTCCAGCACTCATAAGCCAAGTGATATAGCAGAGTAGCCTCTGGTTGTTCAACAACTGTGAGTTGAGTTCAGTGATATAAGAACTAGAGGCAGTGTGAAAAGGCAGTGAGAACTACAGACCTTGGCTGTGGCCATGTGTTTTAGAGGGTGACTCAGCCTGCCTGCGCTGCTACCTGCGTCACAGAGCTGCAAACTAATCTAAACACCAGGCGTCTCCGAATACAAAGCAAAAAATGTATGGAGAAAGCAGATTAGTGCTTTTCATTCAAGGTTTTTGAACAGCAGTTCCCTTGCTGAGTGACAATGTTTTCAAATCAGTAATTGATATCAGGGAAGAGATGGCTGGCTAGTATATCTGTTTGGGTGTGTGTGTTTGTGTGGGGCGTGTGCATGTGTGTGTGTGTGTGTGTGTGTGTGTGTGAGAGAGAAACACTGCAATAGTTATCAGGCACATCTAGAATTGGACAAGATTTGAACTCATTTGCATGTAAATACTGATGTCTGACCAGCCAGCATTCTGACTGTTGTGTGACTTTACTTTACTTACAATGAGCAAGTAAGAGTTAACAACATACTGTATGCTCTTCAAATTGCTTTATCCTGGTTGCTCCTCCACCATCCTCCACTAATTCTAGACTCATCATAGTGACCCGTTCCCCTCTGCTACTGTGCTGTTTTGTAGGTTATGATAGTCCACAAAAAACTGGACTTCAGCCATATCACCTCTCGCTGTGGCTCCAAGGATAATATCAAGCATGTCCCTGGTGGAGGGAATGTAAGTACAACACATGGTGCTCCAATGTGGCTGCTGCCTCCTTCCCCATATCCCACTGACATGCTCGATTGGACAGAGTAATGTCCTAATGTTCTAGTCATTCTAATTCTATGGTCAGCCCCATTGGCCAGCCTAGATACACTGAGTATACCAAAGATTAAGAACACCTTCATAATATTGAGTTGGGCATGGACTCTACAAGATGTCGAAAGCGTTCCACAGAGATGCTGGCCCATGTTGACTCGAATGCTTCCCACAGTTGTGTCAAGTTGGCTGGATCTCCTTTGGGTGGTGGACCATTCTTGATACACATGGGAAACTGTTGAGTGTGAAAAACCCAGCAGTGTTGCCGTTCTTGACACAAACTACCATACCCTGTTCAAAGGCACTTCAATCTTTTGTCTTGCCCATTCACCCTCTGAATGGCACACATACACAATCCATGTCTCAATTGTCTCAAGGCTTAAAAATCCTATTTCAACCTGTCTCCTCCCCTTCATCTACACTGATTGAATTGGATTTAACAAGTGACATCAATAAGGGATCATAGACTTCACCTGGATTCACCTGGTCAGTCTATGTCATGGAATGTTCTTAATGTTTTTTATACTCAGTGTATAATGTTAGGTCCGAATGCTGTGCTGTTTGTGCAAACTTTCTCACCCGACTAACCAGCCTATTAGAAACTAACTTTCTATCTGCCGCTCACTCTCTTTTACATAGCAACAAGCATTTTCCTTATTAAGTGACAAACAATATTTTAAAATTGATACTTCAAATGCCCACTTCTCCACTTTACAGTACCTCAGCTTTTTATCTGTCCAAATGTCATAATCAGTGTTACACTGGTGGGCGAGAGTGATTCAAGGCATTGTGTGTGAATTTCAGAGTGGGTGTTGTTTCATGTTTGTCATTCTTACTTCAACATTTGTGTTGTTTGTTTGGGTGCATTCAGGTCCAGATTCAGCATAAGAAGGTGGACTTGAGCAAAGTGACCTCCAAGTGTGGCTCTAAGGACAACATCAAGCACAAACCAGGTAAGAAACCTAATGATTCAGGAAAATATGTCTACATCCCAAATGGCACCCTATTCCCTACATAGTGCACTACTTTTGACCAGAGCCTCATGGGCCCTGGTCAAAAGTAGTGCACTACATAGGGAATAGGGTTCCATTGGGAAGTATCCTATACCAAATTAATTCTCTTCTTACCCTACTTGTAACTAAGGTCTGTCCACTACAGGGGGTGGAGATGTGAAGATTGAGGCTAAGGCCAATGGTAATGGTAATGGCAAGCCCAAGGTGGAGACAATGGACAATATTGGCCTTGAGGCAGGGGATGGACAAATCAAGGTAAGGTCACCATTCTGTTGTAGTCACATAGTCATTAACATGTTTAACTAACCAGGATTTTGTCATCAAAGTTTTATTTAAATACATTTCAGAAAGCTTGAAGTTATAAAGCAAATGTTTATTGCAAAACACAAAAAGACAGCATCTTTGTGGTTGTGGTGGTGGAAACCTTTTATTTGAACATGCTGGTTGCCCACATACAGAGAGCAATTTCATCCTGTTAAAACAAGCCATGTCATCATGCATTAAGGTAGTTTTTGTCCACAAGATGGCATTAATGATTACCCAGCCTCCTTACTGCTTCATAGAAACACAACAGATAAAGAAAATATAATTGAACTTATAGAAATGTATAAACACGTTTTGTTAATTAACATCAGTGTGTGTCTAATTCTGATGCTCATATGTTTCTAGGCTGGGGGGATGCCAGAGAAAGCTGCGGGGAAAACATCTCCCCCTGGTGGAGCTCCAGCTACAGGTGCAGGAAGCATGGCTAAGGAGAACGGGCATAAGGAGGCCACGCCTCAACCTAATCCCTTTGGGGGTGACGGGCTGCGGGACCCGATAGGCAGGGGCATGGACAAACACATCCCTGAGACAAGTAAGTGCCCCTTGCTCCAACAAACACCCTGTGGCCTTTCTCAAATCTCGCTTTCACTGTCATGCACTCTCAGAGCTTTAACTTTGAGATGACCTCCGTTGCCGATTGCTCAGATGAGAGATAACTGATTGTTGTGAAGTAGGCTCGTTTTTAGCTTCCTTGCTGCAAATGACAAATACTGTACTCCAACAATGTGTATGTTATTTTATGTCGTAAGTCTAACCAGTTTACTCTCCCCTCTTTCTCGTCTTCCTTTTCTCCTCTCGTCTTCCTTTTCTCCCCTATCCTTCCATCTTTCTCCATTGTGTCTGTATCTGCCCTTCAGATTGAGTCTTACAAGCTGAGCTTTCGCGAGAACGCACGGGCTCGCACCACCAACGGCGCCGACCTTATCTCCTGGCCCACCCCGATTGGCAGCCACCCCTCACCCCCATCGCAGCACCTCTCTCTGTGTTTCTCTGGGGTCCGCCAGCTTCCTCCTCCACACCCTCCAGCTCCGACCCAGCCCCTCGTCACCCAGCCATTTGGCAGGAGGACAAATACTGAATGCTAACAGGACAAGGACTTCTTTAGCACATTCCAACTTACTCCTTTTACCTCACTATTCAGTATCGTATCACTACTCTCTATCCTCGTGGAAGTATTCAAGTATAGAGACCACAGAGTTCAGACAGATAGAGCAAGGTCTTACTGTACAGTGGGGTTTGGTCTCTTCTGTATTGCTCTGGCTTAACTTGCTGTGATATAAGTGGTGTAGTATGACCTCAGAGTGAACCTTCTAGAATCTAGACCCTCAGTGTTCTGTTATAGTTATGTCAGCGCAGAGTGAAACTTATTATACTGCCTGCTTCTTTTGTTCCAGCCTATATGCACTGTTCTTATACGTACAGTACTGTAGTGCAGTGCAACCTTGATCAAAATCACAAACACCTACAGTGTCGCACTGTATATTAGTATGACTTTTTCGTCATAGACTATCACAATGAGCCACTGCTATCTATGTGACAAACCTTAGATGTAAAACCTTCCTTACCGTACCTAACTCTCTGGATGAGCATACCCTCCCCTGTACTGTAGGGATCCCAGACTTCACTTGTGGCGTTATACAGTACATTATGGCGATTAGTGAAGCACCCCTTATTGTGAGCATGTGGGACTGTCATGTCATCCCAATGAACAGCGGCTAATATGCCACCTCCTCAGTTAATCAATTCAGTATGTCTAGATAACCTTCTGTAAACCTGTGACCCCACCCACAACCCTCAACAATAAGAAACAAGTAGGCTGTTACAAACAGTAGGACATTTAACATCTCTTTAAAAAAAACTCTGTATTGTGTTTTCGTAAATTATTGTAACAATGAGCTGATGTGTCGTTATGTTGTTTCATCATCAATATACCCTTTCCCTCTTACTGTTACATCTCTCTGAAAGCAATACAGTGAGTGGTCTCTGCTGAGGATACAACTTCCTCTTACACACCCGTCCCCGCACATGTAAACTTCAGTACGGTACAGTCAGAAAGAGAGAGAGAGAGAGAGAGAAAAACCCTCTTAGGATCTGTGCACAGAGACTGGATGCCTGGGGCAGGACATAATAGTAAGCAGGAGGCAGCAAATGAAGTGAGGAAAGGCCTATGATTGCACCAGGGGAGTGGAGATACTCCAACGACGATCAAGTCTCTGTAGTGTTGGCCAAATCGTTGGGACAGGGAAGACGAATAGAGAGCCATGTTGAAGGAAAGCAAGATTTAGATAGATAGATATTTTTATGATAACAATATTATCATAAAAACCCAATTACAATTTTAAGTCAATAACAAGAGAAGTTTGTGAAGGACAAAGACTGTCATAAATTGATCTCCAATGTAACAATTGTACATTTTAATTATTCTCAACTAATCCACTGTTAAATATTAATTGATTTGAATGGCTGCTTATGCTACTGGTTCCACTGTGAATAGTGACATTATTGTGTAACAATAGGGCACAATTGCTTAATCAAGCTACATTAAAAAAAAAATATATATATAAGCGAATTACTCTGATTAACTTGCTGTCGGTTTTGTAAAGAGGTTGGCGGGTGGAATTGTATTACATTACATGACGATGAATTAGGATCCAGTGTGTGTGTAGTGGTTGAACGATCTTTGGGATGGTCTCATTTTGTGATCAACATTTAGACGTCTGTGGAGTCTGTCTGCAGATTTGTGGTACGTTGCTGGATCAAGGTCGAGGGCACCCCATTGCCTTTAAAATACTGGTAGTTTGGCTCTTAGAGTAAGACAATTGCAGTTCCTTTTGGAGACATCCATCACACTACTCCAAGAGGGATAATGGTCACAGATATGAATGTGTAATTGTGCCTTGTAGATTCTCAAGGCTGAACTGTAACAGGTGTACAGTTCCCAAAAAAGTATATTTGTGTCCCACCCTAAAACACTTTTACTTTGATTTATTTTGTTGTACTGTAATGATATGATGCTGCTTGATGTCGGTAAGGCGTAATTTGAATCTATTTGAGTGTGTGCACTGCAGTGGAGGAAATAATAGTGATCATCAATGGCAGAGATAATCAAAGAGCAAGTGATCAAATTATCGAGAATGAAAGCAAAAGCCCCTTATGATATTTATAAGGTATTCTTTCCCCCAACATTCCCATGGTTAGTTCAAAAAATTTTAAGAAATGAATTGTTCCTGAAGAACAAGTCTTACAATGATGAAAGCAGATGAAAGCACTTTGAATGCACAGTGGCATGTACATTTCATGTTTGAGCTCTACAGTATGTTTGAGTGAACCGTTGCCATGATTGGATGAACAGATGTGTCTTTTAGTCTCCTTGGTGGTAACCTTGCTCACTGGTCACGTTAGTGGACTTTGGTGTCAGGCTTTGGGTCAATGGTCACTCACGCTCAGTCTGTTCTCGTTGTGCCTGTTAGGCATCACATTTATGAACACTCACCTTTCCAACACTTAACTACTGCTTGCACCACCACCCTTCCACCAGTCTTCACACATTCGTTTGTATATAGACATCCACATGTGCATCACAGGAAAAAAAGGTATTGATATTAGGGTCTTTATGGATGTTGAGAAATGTCTTTCACGTTCATGAACCCATTTCCGGAGAGTGTTTTCTTTCTGGAGTCTGCCTTTTTTCAGAAAGGGCTGAAGTACAAGAATGTTTTTACAATTTAATATATTAAAGATGCAAGATATGAATATAATATGTATGAACTTTTTGTTTTGTTGTAAAAATCACAATAAGACACTTATACTCAATCTAAATTTGACTGACAGTAGGAAGTGTGTGTCGAGTCCAGTATGGGGACAGCAGCAGACTGTGAATATCTTAAGCATTCAGCGATGGTTAGCATCTCAATGGTTGGTCTAGGTGTGCTTTTACCCACTCCAAGTGGATAAACTGATATTTGCTTGAATAAATTAACACTTTTATCTGCCTCTTACACTTAGACTTACTACATGTAAAAAATCTACAAGGAAAAAAGAATCATCCGATTTAATGCTTATTGTTCCAAATGTTTTGTGTCACTGGTGAGCTTATCGAGTGCTCAACTTTAATCATGAACCAGGCATTGTGAGGATAGGTCGAAGGTCAAGCTCCCACATGCGGCACCTGACACACATAGCCCTTGAATGTCGCCCAGACATCCCTCCCCCACCCCCCTTGTGAGACTAACAGTAACTGTCTTTTGGCATGTGTTATGTAGCGTGCTTCTGTAAAGCACCAAGGAGCCCATAGCTGTGCTTCTTCTTAGAGCACACCTACAGTGTGTATTATTCTCCATAGTGCACACCATAAGAGCATGCAGAAGACAATGGATTGTAAACATCTGTCATAGATAGGAGGAGTTCATTGTTTCCCTTCCGATTTGAGATGTAATGTAATTTGGTATGAAAGAGATGTTCATTGTGATTCATTGTTAACTAGTGATGTGAATATTAATCATGAAATAAAAGACAAGCAAAACATTTTTCCTTTTCTTCTACTTCATTCTCTTTTTTCTATATGTTGTCCTTTTTTCTATTACATTATGTCTTTTCCATAAATAACTATCTTAGGGACAGTTCAGAATTTACTTGGGTGGGGGGGGGGGGTCCAAAATAGGGGAGGGTTGTCTAACTACATTTTCTTGCTTTGGGGAGGGTTGTGTGGTTTTTTATTGGGCACAGCGGAGGGTTGTGTGTTTTTTTCCTGGTTTGCATTCGCTCTTCTGCAGGTTTACCTAGTCGGAAAGTATTCAGCCTTATTCTAAAATATAGAATTATATTTATTCTTCTGCAGGTTTACCTAGTCGTTACGGCCTTATTCTAAAATTAATGACATTAATTATTTTCCTCATCAATCTACACACAATACCCCATAATGACAAAGCAAAAACAGGTTTTTAGAAATACCTTATTTACATAAGTATTCAGACCCTTTGCTATGAGACTCGAAATTGAGTTCAGGTGCAATTGCATTATTGTTTTCGAGTACAAAAGCCCTGTGATTTGAATGTTTCATTCCATTTGGATCAGTTGTGGGTCTACTCTTTACAGTTTATGAGGCCTAGAAAGGCACAGTAGCAGGCCAGTCTGGCTGTATTTTTACCATGATATTGAAGTTCCCAAAGTCGATATACTTTGTTTATTGGTTGTGTGGTGCATTGGCACAGAGACCTGTTGGTGGAAAATCCATTGCATATATTTTATATAATTATAAATAGGGCATCAAAATGTTGAAAACCTGATTTCCCCCTAGCTGATCATTGTCTGCAGCCGGTTCTGATTGTAGTGTAGGCCTAATGAAACAGGCAGGGAGAGTGCGAACCCTCAACCTTCTGGCCCATAGCCCTGCATGGCATCGACAGTGCCACAATAGCATGCTGAGGTGTCAAAGTCGATATCCACGTTTATAAACACACAATTATTGATATTTGGGGTCGTAAACATTATTTTGAATTAATTGTATGAGGGGGGAGGGTGTGCAATTCTTTTTCACAGTACAATGGGAGGGTCGTGAAAATAGTTTTAACATTGGGGAGGGGGGAACATTTTTTTTAAGACACCTTGAGTTGGACCTTTAGAACTGTCCCTTATCTGAGTCAACAAGAACACAGAGTATAGTGCATGCACATAAAGTATCAGCAAGGTGCAAAATGAAATGGTAGTGGCTAGCCAACTTTGCGTTTAATACTGTATACAGAGAGAAGATAACGATACTTATGTAGAGGGATGATGCATCTTGACAGGCAGCCAGACGAAGGAGACTCAAAGTTAGCCTCTCCATTACAACCTATTGTGCCTGCCACTAGAGAGCTGTATAGCCTAATACCCCGTATTGCCGGATCTTGTTGACATGGAATAGTTTCCTTCCTTTTATCCCTGAGGATAAAGATAAACCTGTGAAATTCCTCCTGGCTGCCTTTCACTGATTAAGCAGGACAACTTTAGATGCACAATAAGGTTCACTGTCAAGCGTCAACCAATAGTAACAGGTGACCCAATGAGAAACCCCTACAATGTTGACTGTAACTTAACCACCCTCTGTCTTTTCACACTATATTATTAGAGTTCACACATCTCCCGTCTCTAGACTAAATAAATACCTGCTGTCCGCTCTCAGTGTCCCACTCCTCACTGTCATGTCCTTGAAAGTCCCCCAGCCAAGCCATCAGGGATGTGTGGTACCTGTCCTACTTGAGTGTGCAAACTGACACGGCTTGGGTTTCAGAGAGGACTATTGTTAGGGGTGTTTGTTCTTATGTGGTGGCAACGTGGCATAACGGACACTTTTTAGAGAAGGACTGCCCACCTCCTTACTTGCCCCCCTCCTGACTAACATTGGATCAGTCATTAGTGACTCTGCTGGATGGTCTCTTCAGTGGTCGTATTCCTATCAAACTCCAGTAGGCTACAGATGGGCTCTCTCACCACTGATGATCCTCTGAACCTGACAGAGAGAAAACATAGCTTGCAGAAGAATTGAAGAGCGGAAAGTGGAAATGTTGTTTAATTTTAGATTACATTGATGCTTTTGATCGGGTAGCTCTGTTTGTCTCTCACAGGATCAATTTGAGAAGGCTCAACTCAAGATGCTTTCCACCAATAGTTTGTCACTCATTGGCCTGTATCTCTGAATGCCTCCACTGTCTCTATGGTCCAGCAGCCTAGGCAGGCAACACTTGAAAGAAATGAAGCAGGTATGTAATCCAGCTTTGAATAATTGCTCATTAAAACCTTTGAAAGGTAGGGCATATACTAGGGTTTTTTACTTAGTGGAAATACTGATAACATAGGCCTACACCATTTTTCAACTCTCAATTTATTTTGAAATGTAAAAACCAAAAAAATAGATTTAATACCGGATTTCAGAGTGACAAAAGCAAATAGCAATGAAAAATCAGAAAATGGAGTGGGAAGAATATATTTATAATTTAAAACAATGCATTCTAAAATAAATCACACACACTCCTCACATGCTCGCCTTTGGTGAGTTTAGGCCATAGTTTGGGA